AGGCATTCACCCTTCACGGGGTGCGGTTTCGCCACTACTGCAGCTTCCGAGACGCCGCGATGCTCCGTAAGAACGGACTCCACTTCAGCAGTGGACATCAAATGACCAGAAACATTCAACATGTCATCAACCCTTCCAGTCACCCATAGGTATCCATCGGCATCGCGACGCGCACCTGCAAATTACAATTTCGGCCATTAACTAAATGCCTTTGAAAGAAAAATAAATTTCTGAACGTACCGTCACCAGTGCAGTAATATCCTGGGAATTTCGAGAAGTACGTGGTTTCGTAGCGATCGTGGTTATTGTATAACGATCTCATCATTCCAGGCCACGGGCGAGAGAATACCAAATATCCTTCTCCTTCGCCTTGAATTTCCTTGCCGGATTCATCCAATAAAACTGGCTGTACACCAAAGAATGGGAACGACTACAATAACAAAAAAATACATGCTATTATTACCACATACCAAAGTAAATTAGATTAAATCATATTTAATGTAATGTACATTAGATTGTAATCGAGTTGCGCTTTATTGAAGTATCACTTTTCATGTTACAAAAATAAATGTGTCTAGCTATTTTTTTTTTGTTATAAACTAATCTTAAGTTTATAAATGACGAGATATATTACCGACGATTACATTACATAATTTCATTAAAAAAATCTGTGCGTGTAATCCACTTGAAAATTGGTAGAAATAAGTTCAGCTTACCAAGTACTCTAATCTAGATTAATTTAATAATTTCTGTGACGCATATTCGAAACATATTATATTTGTCGCATTATCTTTTTAATAATATGTTTCATGCGTACTAAATGCATGCAGTTGTTTGACATTGAACAAAATAAAACATGGTAATCTTAGTTATACGGGTGACTATCATTCAAGTTTATAATAATAATATAGTGAAATAGCAAAATTATTATTCTAAAAGTAGTACTCTGCTATTCTGCGATACCAAGAATGGTTGTTGCTAGTCTAGCAGATCGTCTTATTTATATTATAGAACTATGAAATTTATTTTAAAATTATATAATTTTTCATCCAATCGACTACGTCTTAATGAAGCTATAATGCAATTATAAATAGATAAACTTTTCAAGTTCACGTGAACTGCATTTTTGAATTCACTTCTCGGATAAAATATATAACATCATAAATATTATTCAATGTTAACCTATTTTTTTTAGTAGATAAGGAGTGTCTGTAGTGAAGTTAACAAAAATATAAGATTCGATAAGTTGCACGTGGATTAAGTGTTAATACTTACAGCTGCTCCTGGTTTCATGGGTGTCGCACCTGGCAAAGGAGTAAGGACATGACCGCCGGTCTCGGTTTGCCAGAAAGTATCCACGATCGAGCATTTTTCTCCTCCGACCAATTTGTAATACCACATCCAAGCTTCTGGGTTGATTGGTTCTCCTACAGAACCGAGAACTCTCAAGGAGGATAGATCATGCCTGTGAAAATAATATTATATATTTTAAAAGAATTCCCTTTAAATATACCGAGCGCTTGAACTAACCTTGTGACCAAACTGTCCTCGAACTTCATCAACGCTCTGATGGCGGTCGGGGCCGTGTAAAATTGGTTGACCTTGTACTTTTCGACAACACCCCAGAAACGGTCGTTTTGTGGATAGAATGGAGTTCCTTCGTACTATAAATACAATACATTGATATGTTGAATTTAATGGTGTCTATGTTTATTTACCAAAACTGAGGTAGCGGCATTTGCCAGAGGTCCGTACACAACGTATGTGTGACCGGTGATCCAGCCAATATCGGCGGTGCACCAGTAAACGTCATTTGGTTTGTAGTCAAAGACGTATTTGAAGGTAGTAGCGGCATACAAGAGATATCCTCCAGTGGTGTGGAGGACGCCCTTTGGTTTTCCAGTTGAACCGCTGGTGTAAAGCATGAATAAGGGATCCTCGCTTTGCATCCATTCAGGGTAGCAGCTCGTGGAAGCTTGTGGAACGACGTCGTGCCACCAGATATCACGACCATCCTGCATTGGCGTCTGAAAATTGATATCCCTTGCGATAAGCATCATTTCATCGATATTTTCTTTAGTTTTATCAATACCTTATTGCTTTGGTTACTTTGAACACCCGATGGGGCAGTGACCCTTTCCAAGTGCGATACAACGAAGCACACCTCGACGTTGTGTCCGTTCTTCGCGCACTTGTCCATCGCTTGGTCGCAGATACTCTTCAACGCGAGATATTTCTCTCCTCTCCAGACACCATCGGCGGTGATGAGGGCCCGTGCTTGGCAATCAATTATTCGCTCGGAAAATGAGTCGGCAGAAAAACCGGCGAACTGGATTCAACAGAACACAACAATATAACAATGCCTCATTACAATAGTCACGGTTTACATTCAAAGTTGCTGTACGTTGGGACATTTTACTGGAGATGTACTTACCACCAAAGAATGAACTGCTCCGATTCTCGTACACGCCAATATGGCTATGACGGATTCGAGGATCATGGGCATATAAATGGCTACACGATCGCCCCGTTTGATGCCTTTACTCTTAAGCACATTGGCAAATCGACATACTTCCTCCAGGAGCTTCTTGTATGTGAGACGACTGTAGTCATCTGGATGATTTCCTTCCCTACAAAGAAAAACAAAATCCACATTATATGAAAATTTACATTCAAGTGTAAATACTCAATATTTAAGTACATTTAGTTTTCACTTATGAACACGTGCCAAGTTTACAGCACATGATATTTCCGCTAATAACTACTTGCCGATTGAATTTAAAAATAAGTTCATTGTCAACTGACTTACGCTTATTGTCTTCATGTTTTGCCGAAGGTCAGCACTTTAATATTATCACTTAAATTGTAATAAAAAAATATTAGTCAATAATAGAATAAGTATATTCCAATTTAAGCAAAGAGTGTTTAATATAATATTTGGAGTTAGAAATCTCTAATCTCTTTACAAAGAGAAAAACATAAAACATACATTTTTTAATTAAAAAATACATCATATACACAAAATGCATGTATCTAAAAAAATATTGACTAAATTATATAAAATGTGTCCTAGTTGCAAGGTATGTTTTTTTGTTTGCTAGTTACAATAGAGGATATCGTATTTTACAGCAAGGTCGAGAAATGTCTTTTTTGCGTTGTTTGTGGAGAGAGTGAACAAATTGAAATATGTATGGTCGATAAGCCTTGCCCAGACCTTTGAAATAAATTATTCTCCGTTTGTTTTTTATCGCCAATAAATCAATGCAATTCATTATTCAAACGCAATAGAATATTTAAAACTTTTATTTAAAAAAAAATTAAGGAAAACATATTTTTTATTTCTTTATCCGTACAGACTAAACTTTTAAAAAAATAATCTTTTATAACAAAATAATTGAGAAAAATCGTTAGTCATTCGAAAAAGATATGATAAACTTTATTTGTAAAATAAGATTAAATAAAATTTTATTATGTTATGTCTGTAGGATAGTCTACAGTTTCCGATTGACAATTAAATGCCATATCATTTACCATAATATAAACAAATAATATACCAAAAAAAATCATTAAGTACTTTTCTGCGAATATGAGCATTAATTAAAAACTGAATTATTATTTTTTTTACATCAATAAACGTGTAATTAACAAATAATATCACCTCTTAAAGAAAATTAATGCTTATGTAATGAAACGATTAATTAATGGAAAACTCTCGTATATTTTGCAACCAAAAAAAAGTAATGGTAATGTTGATTTACATTTTTATGGATTCAATAATTTAATTTTTCTGATTATTATTCGTAAATTTTCATATTAAACCAATAATTAAATAATACCTATTTTTACTTATTCTGACTTTAAGAAAACAATTTTAATATAACCAATTCATTGTTATCCACGAAACACATTGCTTAACTTTCAGAGGCTATATAAATTATAAATTACAAAGCATTTTATATAATCAATTAAATTAAAGTATTTGTATACAGATAAACTTTAAAATTTAATAAAATGTTATCTTTGCAACATATAAAAATATGTGTCATGTTTCTGATACTGTACGATTCCACTCAGATATAAAAAATGGTGCGGAATCACCCAACACAACCTTTGACCAGTGAGAATCCTCTGCGAGTCATTACAAAACATTATTTATATATGTTTACAAAAATATAGTTGCGTAAACAACATTAGATTTCAAATCGGTAATCAACAAACCATTATTAATTGAAAATTCTGATGTAATATTGATTTTTTATAATTATAAATAGTCGGTAATAGACTGTTGGAACAAAACAAATGTTTAATTAAATACAGTAGAACCTCACTTAACGAGTTTAATCCGTTCCAAAATTTACTTACTCGTATAGTGAAACATATTCAAAAATACACATATGTGTACACAAGTTTTAAAATGTGTAAAGGGCGCAATTCGGTACTTCTTCTCACTCGTCACTCATGTAAACGTCGCTCGTTAAACGAGTATTTTTCTTACTATTAATTTTACTCGTTAAGCGAAATGCTCGTTAAGTGAGGTTCCACTGTATACTTCTCTTGTGGAGACTTGATTATAAATTTCGAATAAATATCATTTTCGAAGGATAATCATCTATTTTGTTATTTAAATTTAATTTGTTTTGGTGAAAATTATACGAATACATTGTCCTAGAAAATAACAGGAAAATAAATATGAATTTCAATGATTATCTGTTCTCAAGGATTAACAGGTATCTTAATCTACACTCAATTAAGTTGGTGAGATTTTTTTCTTGTATTCAGGGAAAGAAATTTCTGTCGCTAATACTGAGGTGACTATCCATATCGCTATCTATTCGCTATCTATTCTCGCACACACACACACAAATTAGCAGTGATACGAATTATATTTCGCTCCGTCATATGCGGTTTGCTGTGATACGATGAAGTACAGAAAAATACATATTATGTGTGTTTTATTTTACTACGTTTGAGTAGAAAAATGCATGCTGTTGAAAAAACTGTTGCCCGAATTACTACACCATTTATATTTTATCAGCGTCTATATTTTTTTGCAGGAGCGATAAAAACGGAACCCCGCTAATCGTCGATAAATATGTTTTTGGTGTTACATAACTCAATCGCATGTGTGTGTGCTTCAATTAATTTAATTACATCAACATCATAACAGTGACTTCCAAGGGCATTCGGCCGTCCGTTTCTTTTTGTCACGGTCACATTGTTGGACACACAAAAGCAAGAAGTTTCACTTCCTATTACAATAATGGAGAGCGAATGGCACTTTCATAATTTGCCGGAATGTTTAATACAATTTATTATACAATGATTGAAGAGTTGGTATGAATAAGGTGATTGGGCAATTAAAACGTGTCAAGCATTCCATGTCTAAACGGAGTCTAGTAATGATTGTACAATGCGTTTGTCATCCGCAGTCACGGATGAATGAAACTGAACTTTCCATACTTTCCGACGACCTTAATTTAATGAAGTGCGATGATTTAAGTGTTTTTATTCATCTGTTCTATCTTCAAGTTTAAGTTCAAGAGAACACGAATTTCCAATTAAATTTGACCGATTGGTATTCGCTTAACGTACATAATGCGTACACAAATTACCGTAAATTAAGTCTGTGTAATTTAATCGAAAGGAAAATTTCAATATAAATGCATAAATTTAGTCTTAATTTTGTTCCCCGGTGTTTATTCGCACAAACGTACTCCATGTTCATACGAAAGTACAGTTACGCTTGTTCGATTTATCAACAATAATTCATGTAAAAATATACACACAAAATGAAAAATACATTAGATAGATTAAATGACATTTATAATTTAAAAGAATACTATTAAAATAATAATTGGTCTGTTTCCTTGAACTAATCAAATAATAAAATAGTTAATGAAAAACATTAAAATTGTATAATCATCCAATGTAGATATTAGATTTTTAGTGGTAATTAATAATTATTTCCAATAAAAAATATATGTTTTTAGTTAATATTCGTCATTACAAAAATTATAATATTATAAATATGTAATAATGAACATTTCAAATGATACCGACCATATAGAGTATATTTTAATTATATATATTAAATATTATTTGAATTAAGATACTAATTTTAATTTCCTTATACTTCTTTGAATCATTGTTGCAAGTCTAAAGACATATTTAAACTATTTAGAAACCTTTGTGCATTTTATTAACTCAATTCACATGACACTTTTAAATATTTTATATATTGATATCAATGAGATATTTTAATAAAAATAATAATAATCTTGATTGCAAGAATAAAAAAATAACTGCTAAAGCGGTGAAGATGTGTGAAAATGTTTCTAAACTAGAGAATCTTGATTGTTAATTACAAAACGTACGTCATTTAACGTTATGTCATGGAATGCAGTAAATATTTGCAGTACGTTGTTTTATAGATTTTCACTCCACGGAAATGATTTGACGTTTTTATTAAAAGTCGGGGTTATTGCGTGCAATAACAAGAGTTTTTGTTTTCAATATTTTATATATTATTTTCGATAATCTACGGTTTTAAAAATAAAATATAGATTTTATTTGATAATAAGAAAATGATAATTCATTCTAACGTGACATTATACTATATGTTCCAATAAAATTCTTTATTGTTTAATAAAATTGAATTTGAATCATTTACTGGTCATTAAATAAATTAGATGAATTATTTTTTATTGAACGGAATTATCGAAAATGTATTTAATAAAATTATTGATTTTATGAAACGATGGAAGATGGAAAATCTGTAGAATTTTTGAATGCGTAAAATCAAATTATTATTTTTACAATATAATTTATTTGAAAGTATTATCACCGTCGCACTATTAAATATTTTAGCGTGGAATGAAAGCAAAAAAAACTATCGCTACTGTTACCCGCGATATTTGATTATCGATTATTTGCTTATAATCCCGATAAAATCATACATTTGATACTCAATTGACAAATGTATTTTTTATTTAAATATTATCTTTAATTTTATCATAGCATTTATTTAAGAGAAACTGCAAGTTGTAACTATGCACATTTGATTTATCTGTGCTGATACTTTTATCATATTTATAATAATAAAACAGTTCCCTCTTAACTGTCCGTCTATTGATGTCCTTCAGTTGGCCTTAAATATATCGAACGATTAATATGACTCGACTTGTATAAGATTATATCAGTAAAGGTACTCATAAAATACATTATAGAAGTAATTAATAAATTATGAAAGATACAGAGTTCTTGCATTGCAATTTAGTAGACTTACTTGATTATTGATTTTATTATAGGTTGCAAGTATAATGTCGAATGCGCAATACGCCTATATTTTAATAATATGTCAAGTAAATAGATAAACTTTAAAAACTCATTCTTTTCTTATTTAAGGAAATTTAATTTTTATTGATATAAATATATAGGAAGTATTCTTATTTTATTTTAAGACGAAAGAATGCTGATGATCACTGAATCGATCGATCAAAGAGCCAATTCCATGAATTATGTAAAAAAAATTGCAAGAATACTTCAGTAAATAGAAAAACTCAACAAAGAGATTGTAATAATATAATATAGAGAATTATAGATCAATAATTAAGTGTTTATTAGAAATACTTGTTGATAAAAAATATACAGATTTATTAACATTTCCTATTTCGATTATTTTATATTCTATGTATATATTGATTTATTGACTTTAATAAAGATTTGTTATATTTTTAGGGTAATCATTAACAAAGTAAATATCAGGAAAGATAAAAAACAAAGTATTAGCCTATTTTATTGAGGGCAAATGATTTTTTTTTATCTAATAATGATTTTAGCATGAGCTCTTGATAAAAGTGGATGCGCAATTAGCATACGTGTAATCAAATATGACAATGTTGTTAACGATGAACCAGCGAAAAATTGATACTTAAAGTACGACTTACGTACGACCATTGTATGCAATTATTACGACATATTCATTGATCAAAGTCAAGATATTGGTTAAAAGTTAGTTTTCGCATTGTTTTTCTATCCAAATATGGTGAACCGCAGGAATCGGGTGATATAAAGTTAATGAATGTAAGTCATTATAATAATAGCAGTATACATCAGGCAAAGTATTGATTCGGAAAGGACGGCTGGGGATTGGCGGAGGCGCACGTGGTACCATCGTCATCGCCCAATCTCGAATGCGTCTGACTAGCGCGATTTTAAAATTGAAATACCGTGGTCACATTTCAGTGATGATACTTATTTTCGTACTACTGGGAACTTAATTAGTAGAGAAAGGTGAAGAAGAACCCTTGATGCAGAAGGGATCTGGCTTAACGAGGATGGATCAATAATGGGGTCAAGCCACCCCATCGACCGGAAGGCGCAGTTGCTGCGTCAAAGATTCGAACTAAATAAATTCAAATATACTAACCAGTAGAATGCAATTTTGTCGCCGTGACCGTTCCTGATATTCCTGTCCAGCAAGTTGTAAGAAATGTTCGTGGTGGCTCCATCGAGCCACTTGGTGTAAATCGGCCCTTTGCACACGTCAAAGTTAAATGTGAAAAACTTGTCGTAGTTGATAGGGTTCTCCCAATGAAACTGCTTGGCGATTTCACCCCAGAATTCCTCTGGATTATCGATGGACTGTTGGTACATCTCCTTGTATTGTGCGAAGGAGGAAATGTGCGCGTTCTTTGCGACATTTTTGTCCGGAAGGTAGACAGTCTTCTCTGACGGCATCTTTCGTTTTGGTTCTTCCTTCCCGGTCTTCACTTAATTTACCAACTGAACCTGCTAGGGCTCGACTATGCTATGCAATGTATGTTTTACGTGTGAAACCAAGGCCCGAACCTCTTGCTCGGACTGACGCGAATACGCAACTAAAACTTGCCCACGGTTGCGCACTCCTATATAAATCGAAAAATTTTTGCTCGCGACGTTCGCCCGCTACTTGTTTGTTCCTCCTATTTCTTCCACATACATATTTATTTATATTTCGATTTCCATCTCACCTCTTATCACCATGCACAACCGCTGTGGAATATCGCAATTCCATAATGCTATATGGTGTGATTCGATTTTTAACTATGCGAATTCTGCCATCACACCATCAAATTGGCAATAACAATGTTTTGTTGTTTATCCCATAAACGAACACTCCTTATCGATTATATCCTACCCCTCTAATTAAATTTGTGTACTAACGCAGATCTTGCCCACTTGGAAACAGAATCAGATGATTTCTCGAGCATTCATTATCTTCGTATTATTATGCAATCACTTCTGATCTCTGCTAGTGAAACCACGAGGGGATGCCATGATCTGAAATCAAATTTCATATAGCAATTTAATATTCCGATTCAACATCCAACTGGAATTCTACAGGTCAAGTTATAATTTCTTTTTGTCCTTAGAAATTGAATAATTATATTTAATTTTCACGTAAGAATTTAATTACAAAATATTTAAAATAATATCTGTAATTTGGCTTTCAATTTATTTATTTTAAATAAAAAATTGAAAAGAACTTATTAAAAATACAAATAATAACTAAAATTAATTGGATATATAAATAATGTATATATGCAATATGCAATAGGCAATCAATGGCAGTTTTTCCGCCAAAATAATCAACAAAATATTCGTTCTGACGCTGAAAAAATAAAAATTATGCAAAGATATACGATAAAACGATTATAAAGTAATATTAATTTATGCACCAGATTAAAATTCATGAATTAAGTTAATAGAGCATTTTTCAATTATAAAACTATAGTAGTTGAATTCCTTGATTGAAGTCATACATATTGTACATAAAGATTATGAATTAAAATCAAAATTTTGTTCCTGCATAGGTTTCACGTGGGAGTAATAAAACGCAACTATGCGAAAAATTGCGCAATGTATAGTAGTCATCTTACTATAATTACGATACTATATAATGGAAAGCACCAACCACAACAATTAGTTTTTACTATTATTGATAATAAAACTATCTGGTGAAAATTTATTTACAGTTTTCTATTTATTATGTTTCTAACTCACTTGTAAAACGAAAATTAATGGATTTGAAATGTTTAATAAGAAATAAGATAACCGCCTAATACGCTAATACATTAGATATTTATACTACAAAAATATGTTGCAAATAGAAGCGTTTAATACTTTTATTCACTTTCACATATTCCATTCAGGAATTCTATGTTTTCAGATATTTTTATTAAAACATTATTAATATATATGAATAAAAGAAATATTTTTATTTCTACATTGCAAACTATCGCAAAATAATTTATACACTCAAGTCTCATTGTATGCGGTCTATTACTATTTTATTTCCTCAATTAGTTCGGAAAATATTCAAATATTTCTACGAATGAGAAATATATTAATTTATACTATATATTTTCATGAACTTTAATATAGATATTATTTAATTTAAAATTGTATATAAATGTCTGTTCTTTTACATAAAGTATTATTTATTTATTAAATAATTTTGATTAACTTTAACTTAGTCAAAAAGGGTAACAATCAAAATATTTCTGCCTTATATAAAATAAACATTATGATTTTTATTATTATTGTATACGTAAATATATCATTGATTTGAATTATTACAGATATTTAAATCATGTGAATAAAAAAAAATCGGCTGAGTAACCGCAGTCTATTGTCCTTTAGTTAACATCTAAACTATATTGAAAAAGCCGTACAATACAACACGTACAATAAAATGGTGTAAATGCCATTACTAGATTTTGGTGATGGCCAATGGATATGTCACTTTGGTTCTCTCTAATTCTCTATTTTTAATTATATTTTAAATACTCCTAGTAATTAAACGTAACACGTATTTTCGTTACCATTTAAAGCGTGTCATCGTTACTAAACGCGTTTGCAATTACTGAACATATATAGCTTTCTTTAGTATCTCTGATTTTTTTTCTTTCTTTTGGCATGTTTAATCTCTCCAAAGTTTTTTTTGTTCAACAGTTCGAACTAGCGTCTATATTTAGCTGCTTATTTATCACTGCAATCGCTGCAAATCAGTGAGAACGTGTAACAAACAATTTGCAGTTAGTTACTGCAATTTCTAAGCAGCAACGTTCATGACAACTGCGCTATTCTAATGAGATGAAAACATTTTAAAGAGGTTTCGTTTATAATTTAAATGTTAGGTCAAAGGTATTTAGTTCTCAAGGAAATGCTCATTCATTGCTAGTCTGAATTGAACAATAGATAATATAGATGAGTCCCAAATAACGCATAATGCTATTTTTTTTTACCGTTTTTACTTTGGCTTTTGAATTTATGTCAAAGTTGAACCACGTAATATGTTAAATATATAAGTTAATGGTTATGTTAAAAGTCTTTGAATTTAAATTTTCATTGTATTAAAAAATATGCTTTGACTAAAATTAAATAACATAAAAATTATTTGTATTTTCTGGTGGTTGTTTTTACCATTTTTGGATTGATGTATAGAATTGCAGAAGCATATAAATATTTAAATATAATCAAATTGTTTTAAAAATAACCAATAAAATATTTATATTTAACATTTTTTATCAGACTGTAGTCTTTCCGGCCAATTAAAAATAAATAAATAAGTTTTTACGTATGTTATTTTTTTACACAAATGTAATGACAAATGAAATTACAGTTGATATATATATATATTTATCAAACCTTTATCGTAATGTACCAATATTTCAGTTTACTGTATGCAAATATTATTCTACTTTCGCGGATCTTATGTAATATCTAAAGTGAATAGCAGAGAAATAAATTATTATACTTTTTTTCCATTTAATGGATAGTTCTGACGGCGCCTCGAAGATGCGATCAATATTTCCATGCACAACTAGAGCTGCCTGGATATTCCGTGATCTCTTTCATACTTGAATGAGATCAAATACCAAGAATTCTTGGATAGCTAGGAATTTCAATCTATTTTTATATTGGTTTTCAATATTAATTTAAATCAAATAAGATATAAAATTAAGTCAAGTTTTATAATATATTAAATAAATATTTAAATACAGTGGAATCTCGTTTAACGAGTACCTCGCTTAACGAGCACCTCGTATAACGAGCATTTCACCTAACGATCAAAATGAATTGTAAGAAAAATGAAAGAAATTACAAACAAACAAAAAGTATAGTATAGAAATAAACCTCGCATAGTGCGAATTCAATCAGTCCGGATTAACTATATTTTAATTCCCAAAAATAAAATAAAAAGATACATAAACAGTTCCTTTATTTCCTTTATACAATGGAACATTTTTATAAGATAATATTTTTGTTGACTGAATTCATTGAATACTGAAATTAATTCGCTTAGTTCATTATTCTATTTACTTTTACCTTGTGTTTGTTCAGAAAATATAAGCGGTTACGTGTTTCTTTGCTATTAACAGATATTTTTTTGTTTCTCTTGAGGTTAAAAAGTAAATTATGTTATTTAACCTTGCTTTTCATACCCAAACAAGTGATTCCCAGTTTCTCTTAATTGCGTTTGGGTAATTTTGCACATCAACATGTGTATATTTCAAGTGTTTATTGTACTTTGCATGGAAATAAAGTTTTTTTTTTAAATAAATAATTGATTAACTACAATGCCATATTAATTTGATGAAATGTATTACGAAATTAATTACATTATTACCATAATCTTTTTATTTATTTATAATTTTCTACTGTTAGTATTATTTTTGAGAAACTTACTATTTGATTAACAATTAGGTTACTAAAAACATTATTTAGTAACATTATTTAACGACATTAGGTTTAACTTTTTAGACATTTATTTATTCTTATGTAAATAAACCTTATATATTTAGCAATTTTAGTTATTTTTAATTAGTGATAACATAAATAATACATGAAAAAAGTTTGTAGATAATGATTTATTATACTCTGACACAAAAACAATACAGTTTAAGTAATGTAATAAAATGAACACTTAGAATAATAAAAATGATGCGAGTCTAATCCTTTTTAGCCCAGTTATATTTTAAAATTGAAATACGGCAACCCTAAGTATATGTAATTAAAAAAAGAATGTGAGATTTATAAAAAGTTTTGGACAAATTAGGAGACTCAATATATTCAAAAATAATAAAACTTATATAATTATTTTAATCTTTATAGTATGATATAAAATTTAATTAATAATTTAAGTAGGTACAGTTGATAACGTTATATGTAGGAAAGAGCGTACTTTCAAAAATGAAATGGAGATACACTATCATTGATAAGAAAAATATAATTTTTGTCATACTAGATAAAAATTTGATAATTTTATGTACAATCATATTTATTCTATTGTTATGATACAGACGATTCGTCAAAGATAAAAATAAACATTTTTTCGGAAGTCAAAATTGAGTATCATTCATATTACTCATTAATTGCATTTAAAAAATTGTTATCAAATAATTGTAAATATACTTAGTAAATGTAAATATAGCAATACTTTGCATAATGCAGGTAATCGGTTCCGCTAATTTAACAGACTAATGGAGGACTTTAAAACTGCACAAAAAGATATTACTGAACGAAAAAACGACAATTTATGTATACAAAAAAATGTGTTCTAATGTTTTAGAATTGTATTTAACAAAAAAAATAGTTTGTTATTAATGAAAACTGTACTATGCGAAATATTTCTGTATATATATAACTATCGACTTTTAACAAATTTTCAATATTTAAAATTCAATTGCAGTTTAAATAGATTGTTAAATAATTGTAACTGTATTATTGCAAAACTTAAATTATTTTGTTTTAGTATTTTAATATTTGAAATTGCGTAAATGGTAAAAACTAACCAATTTTACGTTCAAAAAGTAAGTTTGTTTTCAATTTTGGAAGTCACTGATTTTAAAGACGCATATTTGTGTGAAAATAATTTCGATTTATTCGATTCCGAAATAAACACTGCGTCAGCTCATTATATTTGGATTACGTCGTCATCCAATATGGATTTACGTGATCAATTAATAATTGCACATTTCCTGCTTTTTTTTATCGTTTTGTTCCCTGCAGTTTCAAAATACACAAACAACACTCAGTATTCTTAATTAATTAAATTTGGCAAGCATGATGTCGATGCGATTATAAAATCAGTTTGAATTGATTTCGAAAATTTTTATATCAAACAATCAGTGCAAATAATAACCGAATAATAAGTCGATAACGTAAAAGTCAAACACTAACCGTTAGTTGTTTACATAATCTATATATTACGTCATGGTAAGTTACATTTGTAAATTTTCTCAAAACGTTATAAGAATCATTAATCAAAATATCAATTAAAATGTATTTTTTTTGGTTTAAACAAATTTAAATGCTACTATTATATTTATTTTTATTTTTCTATATTGTTGAATATGTATCAAATTATGATTTTAGTTAACGATTTAATTTTTATTGTATTTTATTTATGATCAAATGCAATAAAGTGAAGTTATTGTTATAAATTTAACGTGATTTATTGATAATTCCATTCTACCATTTGCTCGATAATGAATTTGATATGATCAAATTACCAGCGAATCCTTGACAAAGTGATGAAAACAAATCAAAATACAGTGGAACCTCGCTTAACGATCATAATCCGTTCCAAAATTTCCGGATTTTTACTTGTAGAGTAAAACAATTTTCCCCATATAATTTTTGGGAGTAATTTTTCTTACAATTTATTTTGCGAAATGTTCGTTATGCGTGATGTTTGTGAAACAAGGTTCAACTGTATTTCATTTGATAGAACAGATCAGAATACTATATGAAAAATTATATTGGTCTAAGTATGCACTAGATGCACATCATTTAAAATTCACACTAACAGTCTTAGCAACAAAAAAATCAGATGTTATAAATGTGTGAAGATCATATCAATATAAGATTTGGTTCTATAAAATTAACTTTTAGTTCTTATGGAAATGCAAGTTAAATTATGTATTTATTAAATTTTCATTCACTTTTTTCAATAATTTTTGGTAAAAATTAATCCTTTCGGAACTAGCGGTGGCATCTGCCACCGTAATATGCAATGCATTCTAGTTTATAACTGAATACCGATTTTCAACATAAGATACTAGATGTAGTCTCGACAAACTATTGTAAAAATATATTGTTACTAACTTCTATCATATTTGAATCTTTTCATATCTTAATTTACACGAAAATTATAAAATTGACGAAGACATTGAGGAAAAGATGATGAGCAGCAAGAAAATGAAGATGATAAAAGATAACAACCATACACAGTTCCTGTGAATGACATCAGATATACAAATCTTGGTCATTGGCCAATACAGGTAGGTGGCCATGAACAAAGTTGTAAACTTGAACACTGTGTCTTTTGCTAATCTAAATTTAAAAATTGTTTAAAAAAAATCTATTTTCGTGTGCGGAATTCTGATTTTATAAATACGTTTTAATTATAAATTATGTTAAAATTCGTTTAAATTTCATCAATAGGTTTAACTGTAGGTAAAATTTTAAAGCACAAACCTCCATTAAATTCGTTTTAGTGTATTCCCGCCTCAAATAACACGAAAGTTTGAAATTAACATTTTAAATCTATCACTGTATTTGACATTTCATAACTGATTTTTGTTTAAACTAACTTGATATAATATCCGTAAAAAATATTCACATATTAGTTTAATAACATTATATTCTCTTGCATAACTATAATTTATTACATATTCACCCTGTGAAATAAATTAAATTTTCAATGTTTTTTCTAATTATTATAGTATTTGTAAATAAAAAAAATCCACCTGTGTATTTGAAAGAAGAAATATGATTAATATCAATAAAAATCTGTAGTTATAGCGACAATTGCATATTTTGTTGTTATAAAGTATACAAAAAAGTTCGCAAAGTTCCTTAATGCAAATGTAATAATTGTATTTTTACACTTGTTGCTTCCTTATATAGATGTTTTTTGTTAGCTCTATTTTTATTGACGAGTAAACGAAAGTATACATAATTATACGAACATTAGGTAAATTGATACACGTGGGAAATTATTTCATTGAAATTTACGTTTTATTGTTTATTTATGTCGTGTAATTTTATTTGCAATCTGTTCATCAATGTGAACATTGAGTAAATTTAAGATCGCGGTTGACATTAAATGGATAATCTTTCCCGGTGGATAGTTACCATTATGATGATTTGATTTTAATTTGTTGGTTTGATGTCGTATAGTGATGCTCTGCGATTCCACTATTTCCTTTGACTGTGAATCTGCTGCTATCCTTAACACTGTCATTGTCCATCGACTTGGGTGAAGGTCCATATACTGAACCTCATTCATTTCACTGTCCATCTATGATGAACGATGGCCCTATTGCTGCAAGCACCGAGAGGGCTCACAAAGGGCCTGGCTTGACCATGATTTGAACCTGTGACCACTGGCATGTGAGTAGGGCGACTTAACCATTTGGCTATTAGACGTAAAATTTAAGTGAAGTGATATTATAATCAAATATATCAACATCAAATCAGACTAAAGTTACTGCAATAATCTGCAGACCTAAAATATGCGACAATGTTTTAAAAAAATAAAATTTTGCTTGATTTGGAAAAGAAATTAAAAATATTTATATTATTAATTTTGCAAATTAAAGTGACTAATTTACTAAATTTAAAGCTTATAGGTAAGTTCAAAATTCCATAAAAACAATATATTACTAACATTTAATAAACACATTAATTTTGAAATAAGCTTCTCAATTTTGTGTTTATAATTTTATAACAATCGCAATAATTGACTTAGCGTTTTTTTATCGTTAATTATTGTAATATCAAATATTATTATTATGACTACGTTTTTTCTATTTTTATTTAAAACTTGTTTATCAAACATCTTAAAATTAGTAATGATTAATGAATGTTATTTAAATAGTCTGTTTAATATTTATAGATTTTATTCTAATTTTGATTTAAAATAAAAATTCATGAAGTTGTATAATTATTAAATACATTCCACGTATAGTTCAAAAATTAATGTACTTTATTACTTTAGTGGAACCTCGCTTAACGAGTTTAATTCGTTTCAAAATTTCCGGATTTACTCGTATAGTGAAACATATTCAAAAATACACATAATATGTGTACACAAGTTTTAAAAATGATGTAGCATGCGCGCAATTCGGGATTTCTCTTCTCATCGTCACTCGTTATGCGAGGTGCTCGTTAAGCGAGGTTCCATTGTACTCACATTTATGAGACAATATTTACAGAAAAAATAGGTTCAAAAGGTTTTATGCTCCAAACATGCGACAATATAACCGATTTGCAAATGACTTGAAAAATGTACACTTAACACACAGATATATTAACCATTATAAAATAATAAAATTAATGTAAATACAAGTGCAGCCCTTTGTATCAGTTAACTTTTTTGAAATTATATATATTTATTTTGTTTGTTTTATTTCTGTATATGTTTTTTGTACGACTGGTGCAATGCACACTATTATTATTATTGTAAAGACAATTAACGCAAACGGTACTGAAATTTGGTGTACAATATCTCGAAGGTAAATATATTACATCGTTAGTATCTTGTTTGAATTTTCCTATAATATTGATTTTTTTTTCAGATTTGCTTCACCAAACATTTTCTATTTTCCGATATCGATAAAAAAAATCAGATTGAGTTTACTTATAATTTATGATACAAATAGGCTCTATGAAGCACATACTTTATTGAAAACAATGATGCATGGGAAGTATTTACACTGTTATACAAGTTTTAGATAGAGTACAGTTTTATAACTCAGGATAAAAGTAGCACATTATGAAAATTCTGTAGTATTTCCTTTTCATTTAATGTTCTAAAATGTCACAAAAAAAATAAGTACTTTATGAAACACTTTTTTTTTATACAACCGACAAATAATAGCGAAGAAGAAAGGATTGTTATTGAATTCCGAGTGTTGTAGGAATTCAATTTCAAATGAAAAAAAAGTTACTAAAAAAACACCAGTTCGTTATATATTTAGGAAATATCAGAAAAACTAAAAAAATTAACTTGTTTTGAGCGTCGTTTTGGTATGTAGTAATGTCAGTAACTTTAGTGTTAATAATTTTTTTTTTTATACAACCGAGAAATAATAGTCTTCATACATGAATATTGAAGAAGAAATTATTTTAAATAAACGAAGAAAATGGGATTGTTATTGAATTCCGAGTGATGTAGGAAAGTTCAGTTTCACATTAAATAAAAGTTACAAACGAAAAAAACTAATGTAACTTATTTTTTGGACGGTAATTTTAGTGTTAATAAAATCATCTACATACATAAGGATTCCAACTCAAATAAAAAGTGTGTTAAGTAAGTTGTAGTTACTAGATTATGCGAGGAGATTCACAAATAGTTTAACGATCAATTAACATAGTAATAAACCATTTAATGTTTCAATTAAATTGTATAATAAACAAGAATATTAAATATAAAATATTTAAAAAAATCACCATTTTAGAACAAACTAATTACTTTTTCTATATGTAGTCTAACGATTGCGCTTTAAAATCCTAAATATATCAATTAGCTTAACTGTCTATCAATTAACATGAACAATGTGATTCCATTTGTTATTGAGCTATCAATTTAAGTGTACATAAATGAAATAGTTTTACCGATCGCATTTGCGTGATCCATATGTACATCACGTACGCGCGTTAGAAGTTTGGACACTTTCTAAAAATAATTCAAATGCCTTCTTCATTGTCGTTTGGCGAATTGTCGTAAATGGACACGATAATTTGTTGCCCGAGGCAGATCTAGAGGAAACGGTTGGGAAATTGACATTGAAAAAGAAAACTATACAACGAAGACAAAACCGGTTCACTTTCTATATTTCGGCAATGACTTTATTTCTTCGTTTGTTTTAAATATTATTATTAATTATAGTATATTACACTTCAGTTGCGTCTACGCATAACGAAAATCGCTCTCACTCTTTTTGGTATTAACATTTAGCTAAGTTTGGATGTGACTTTGGTTTACATTTTATATACACTTGAAGAATAAACAACATAGAAAATAAAAAAAATAAATGAGTATACTGGCAGTATCAGTTCTAGGATGTTTAATGGTGATCATCGGATTTCAAGAATTCGTTGTACTTCTCTTCATTCATCAGGCCCTTCAACTCTGACGAGTCCTTCAGTTCGATCTTATATAACCATCCTAGAATAATAAACACAATTATTAAATGTAACAACAACTGAGAAAATGCAATCTGCTAAATTATAATGATAACGCAAATTGATCACCCAGATTATGAAATGATTATGCATGGAAATAATAACAATGCATTCATTAATTAACCTCATTCATTATTATTAAGGCGACAGGAAATTATTCACGAAATGATTGTATTTTCATACAATTTTGCTACTGTCATAGACTAAATAACATTAAGCAAACACGTGATATTAAAAATGTATGCACTACTTACTAGTTCTCGTACGCTCAAGCGACAACAGAACTACTTAATTGTTTTTAAATATTTGATAAAATTATAAATAGTAAAATTACCTCTATTTTTTTGTATACAAATAAAGCTTATTTTACTAATACAAATTAGATAATATTGCTTACTTTTTGGAAAATTTCACTATTATTTAATAAACGATTATACTTTACATCTACCTAAAAGTTAAATTACTTATTTTAACTGAAAGTAATACTTAGCGCAAACAATTAATTAGTTACATTGAAATATGCTTAAATTAGAAATGTTTTTTTTTTTACTTTTATTATTCATTCACAACCTGCCAACATCCCTGGCTATAAGTTGAATGTTATTAGAAATGATAATAAACAATTGTGGATGATATAATCAAATTTATAAAAACCATCGTGTGGTTAAGAGACTAGACACAAATAAAAAGGTATTTGTGATTTCTTAATTATGATTAATTATATATTTTCAAATAAATTAATTATAACTAAAATATTTACCTTTGTCATAGCATGATGTATTGATCAGAGATGGCGAATCTTCGACTTCTGTGTTTTTGCTAGTAACTTTTCCAGAAACCGGACTGTAGATTTCACTGGCAGCTTTAACACTTTCAAGAGCTCCGCACTCATCTATAAGAAGACGCGTTAAAAATAAACGATCATTAATGATTAATCATGATATCATTGAAATGTATATTGTGTTAAAGTCTTGTTATTTTAACAAATTGTCTTAATATTTTTACAATGAGAACTAAATAATGATCTTTTTAATAATTAGTAACTAATAATGAATTATATAATAATCGTATTTTGTAATGATCGACGTGGATAAAAGATCTTATGTACTCATATTTTTTATTTACATTTAATTGATTTGAAGGACGACTTTGAAAGAAAAAAAATAAACAACGTAATCGTTTTAGAGATATAGCGAATCAGGAGATTCATCGTCATAGTGAATGATAAAAATCTGATAACATTTTTGAATTGATTGATATATACATATCTAGTATATTCCAGTAAAATATATTCTTCAATACCGCAGCGTATACTATTTTCCGAGCAAGTAGAAAATATAGTTGCATAATTACCTCCTTTAGCTAAATCCATGCTGACATCTGGTAATTGAGCGTATACAACATCACCCAGAGCTTCCTGGAGTGAAACAGAGATGTTACGTAACCAAATCAAATCAAATTAAGTTTTTTTCTCTCAGATGACGAGAAAAGAAGGATCTATACTTACTTGTGCATAACTCGAGATGCCTACAGTTCCTACTTTACCATCAACTTCGACCCATTCGTGCTTGTCCGTGTATAACCTTTCTAAAAGAAATAAATAATTAAATTGTCTTACCATAATGTGTTCAAAGTTTGCTGTGTTGCAGTTGAATGATTTTATTAATATTTATATACAATTACCTGCAAATAGATGGCGACTACAGCTAATTAACCTATAAGATTCGCAGACGTTCCTGTTGGCGATTTGTCTTAAAACCGATTTATTGCCGAGCCTTGAGGCTGTGGTAATAAGTTTAGCGAAGACCATTTTCGGTTCTGAGGTGGACAACGACGAGACACCAGACACACAGCTCAAAGAATTGATCCCAATAAAAGTGAAGCGGTCATCCAAACGTGCTTTACATTTGTCGGGTTTGTTTACTAGCTAACCTCGCGACCAGTGGCGTATCGAGCGTGGTTACATACTCCAATCATAAAACTCGTGCTCTGCAAAAATAATATTTGCATTAAAATATTCTTATTGTGGATGTATGCAAATTATTTTTTTAAATTATGACATTGACATATAAAATAAACAATTTTACCGGCATGTTGATTTTAGTAATTTATAATAGTGGAACTTTTAAGTTGTTCGACTTTCGAGTTAATCTCATAAGAAGAATTGTAAATTGAACTAATTTCTTTCTCCCCAACATTTCAAGCATGTATTCAAAAAACATTTTGGATTCCACTAGTATTGAGTATTTTTCTTTGGAGATAAACCTATGTCATTTGTTATATATCTTTATTTCAAATGTGAAATTTTTGGTTCAACTTTAGAATATTAGTTCGTAGGCTAATGTTGATGGCATGTTTTGTTCAATTATCGTAAAAATGTCCGTTTTGTAGTCCAAAAAAGTTAATTTCGAATCCTGATTTTACAGGTTTTGTAATTTAAAAATTAACTTAGTGAAGTAAATTATTCTATAAATAAAAATATTATATAATTAATCTAATAATTCATTATATTCACAATACTTATACAATAATATTTCTATTATAACTAATTATTAGAGTTAGTCTAAAAACAGTGTTGGAAATTTCATCAAAAATATATTTTTTTGAATGATAATTTTGAAATAAACATAAGCATTTCAGATTTTTTGTTGTTGCTTATTAACAAAGATTAATGTATGATGTGGTTATGGTTTTAATTTAAAGATAATTAAATATGGACGGATTAATATGAAACCAACCGAGTGAGATTTTTCCGTTTCTGGTACGGCTATGGTTGAGGTCAGACGCGATTAGTTGGTTATCAGTATTATCAATACCCCCCGTGGACTTCTTACACATTGCAAATAAGGACGACATAGTAATATCCGAGATTTGTTCTTATTCGTTTCAATTTTCAATAACAGCCGCAGGTCATTTTGATAATTGATAATGGCAGATGATTATTGCATAAATGTTTTGAAAAATTTAGAAATGAGATTAGAGGTTGCCAATCGCCACATGATTTCTTAAAATAAATATAAAATATTTCACTAATCTTTGCCGCGTTAAATAAAAAGAAGTATATATTGCGTCGCATGAATAGAAAATATCAATATTTAAAAGTTAATATAAATATATATTTTGGAGATCTGTTTAAGAATCCACGAACTTATGTATTAGAAAATAAGTTGCCCATTATAAATTTTTATTATTTAAGCCATATTTTTTCTCAATACAATAGATTTTCTTACTTTGATATAAAGTAAATTGCGCTGTTATGCAAGTTACATAATATCTAAAGTATGTGTGAATTTACCCATACATTAGCCAAGGTTATTTAGCAATAGTGCGTATCAGAATTTCTTAAAAACTTTCATCATTGCCGTTTCAACATTCTTAAACGATTAACGCGAATAGATTAACAGTTATAAACGCTTTAAATCAATAAAACTAATATGTAAAATATATTCTACAATAAAAAAGAGTCTTGAAATATCTCTATTTGAATATATTTGACTAAATTAAAAATGTAATTACTATACGAAATAATTACAATAAATATTCTGAGAAATGTTTAACAAATTATTACTTTAATATATTTATTTAATTATAATCATCTAACAAAAGTGTAGTACTTTTCTTTGAGATTACTTGAAATATATATAAATACCTCGCATAGTGCGTGTAATCGATTCTGCAAGTATTCAGCACTATTTAAAATCGGATTAGTAGAGGACTTTAAAATTACATAAAAGTGATTTGATTATATACAGTGAAATCAAACGATTTTTTATGTATAAACATGAATTAAAAGTTAGTTTGTTTTGAGATTTTCAAACCGGACTACAGTCAATCCCGATTTATGTTTTCCTTTAAAGATATTAGACTTCTCTTACTCTTTCTATCTCATAATCTCCAACTATGTCTTGTAACTTCCATTGCCTTGTATCATCATCTTCCGCTTGAAACGCACCTTCTACAAGACCTTCTGTAATATTTACTTAACATCTTCACCATCTCTTTATCAACAACATCGTCGAACATTATCGTGAAATGTGAAATGACATACGACCGGTGGCAATCGCAAGCCCGACAACCGAAATCCCGTCTATCGAAATCCCGACGTTCGAAATCCCAACGTTCGAAATCCCGAGTGTATCGAAATCCCGACGTTCGAAATCCCGACAATCTAAAACTTAATAAGATTATTAATTGTTGTTATTTATTGTTAATAACATTAACTAATTTTATTATATAATATTTCTTATTCTTAAGTTTTATAATGAATAAGTCAACGAAAAAAAATACAATAATAATTAATATTATTTATTGTTATTAAGAATAAATAACAACAATTAATAATCGNAAGTTTTATAATGAATAAGTCAACGAAAAAAAATACAATAATAATTAATATTATTTATTGTTATTAAGAATAAATAACAACAATTAATAATCGGGCAAAAGAGCCATCGACCTAGGTCTTAAAAATATTTTTTTCAGTATCCGTCGTACCTATTAAAATATAGTAAATAATTTAAAAATGTTATTGTAGAAATTATAATAATAAAAGACACTGTCGGGATTTCGATACAGTCGGGATTTTGATTGTCAGGGTTATGGTAGTCGGGATTTCGATACACTCGATTTCGAACGTCGGGCTTTCAATAGACGGTCTTTCGGTTGTCGGGCTTGCGATATAGACCCCATACAACAATATCATTGGAGAACTCTATCACGAGGATATGACCATTATCGCCGTTCTGTCTGTCCACGAGCGGAAAAATTCCCCTGGACGTCTGGAATACAACGACCTTTTCCGCGTCCGTCGTGCTCCAACAGAGAATTCCTTCACGGATATATTCCTTGCACGTCAGGAATACAACAGCATTCTCCATGTAGATCTTAACTGTGCAGTGAAATAAAGTTCTTTAATTGTTATTCGTTCATCTACATTTTCTCAAATGTTTTATTTGATGTTTATATAACTGATGGTTGTCTAGAAAGTTTATGCCGATTTTTGCTAAGTACTATTGGTGATGCCTAAATATATCAGAATTGTGTGTCTATATTCTGAAAGTTGACTTTTCAACCGTCTTTTGAAAAAAGATTTTGATACTTTTCTATTACTGGAAAGCAAAAAATGCCACTAAAGAAATAACTAAGATATTCTGCTAACTGAGAAGTTGCTTAAAGATCTGTAGGAAAGTAATTCTCTAAGTTTACAGCTGGCAAATTTAGGCTTAAAGTTATGCTAGTAATAATGATGAAATTAAGACATGCACAACATGTGTATTTGCAGAAATATTAAAATATCATCCACGATCATATTTTGAATCTTTTGATTTGACAAAAAAAAAATCTTATAAATTCTAGGAGGATGTGTTAAAGTTGTATAAAAGATGAAGAAGGGTGTAGATCAAAATGGTGCATACATAATTAAAAATTTATATATCGATATATAAGTTTTTACTTTTAATTTTCGTGAAAAATCAGCATGAACTTTCCGGACAACGTAATATAACTAATTATTTCTATTAAAACTATTTTATGTTACGGAATCTTGACTGAAAATTGTTTGTAAGACATAAATTATACAAAAATTACTGAAACATTGCAATTATACATATAAAGTATAAGAACATATAAAGATGAACAATTTATTGCTGTAAAAAAGTTAGCTGTAAGATAAATTTTGTAATAAGTTAATGATAATGCAAATAAAAAACAAATTTTATTGATATTTTTATTATTGCTTTATTATTAACAAAAAAAATCATATTTATAAATAACTCAAATTCAGTTTCATCTTTTCAAAGATCAAATAATAGGTTCCAATAAATATTAACATAATGTTTTTTTTTTGGGTATAATTTCATTGTATAAATTCAACTTTTATAAATAACATTCAAATAAAGTATAGAAGTAATGAATTTAAACTGCACATTGTATTAATCAAATAAAAATATAATATCCAAAACAAAATATCGAATACAATTACATAATATCAACTTGATGAAGGGAACAATTTATTTGCAATATACAAAAGATTATTGACTTAATCAAATTTATAATATTAACAATATTTATTTCAATGATTATACAAATAACTAAGTACATACAAAGGTAAAAATATTACTTGAGAAATAGTGAAAAATTATATTGATAAATTTATCATCAAATGAAATAATTCTATATGGTAGATTGAATGGATGACCTAAAATGAACTATTTAAAAGTTAGTTAAATATGTGTTACTTGTGTAATGGATATTTTCGTCAACAAATGTTTCGACAGTTACTTAAACAAAATTTCAATTTGGCATTGGTGTCATTGTTTACACTGGATTTACTGTTTATTTATTGTTTTTATAATTATATTTTTGTTTGATTATACTTTTTAAACAGTCTATTTTATTATTTAACTGCAATACAATAGTAACGAGATGTCCTCAGGGAAAATTTAAGAAAAAAGAAATTTGAAATAAGACACAATTCACTTTTACACGATTTTTATTAAAAAATTACAGAAACGGGAATAAATAAGTGCGTTTATTTTCAAAGTTTATTATTATATTCAATTATTATAATTCATTATAATTTGTTATTTCCTTAATTCCAAATGTAAACATTGAAATCAGTCTATGGTTTTATATATATATATTATATATATCATCATATAATAATAACGTTCAAAGAAACTAAATGAGCCGGGCGGGTTAATTCGATTAAACCCGCGCGTCATTATAATCACATACTTCATTATATTTTCCAATATAAACTTTCGAATGGAGTGAAAAAAAAACTCGGTGGTTTCTAAAAATTAGTAAATGAAAACTCTGGACTACCATCATTATTTCTCTTGCGTAAATTAATTATTATTTCTCTTTTTTTTTATTCCGTTTTATTTTTTTATTATTACGTTTTCCATTTTTCATCTTATTATTTTTGTTTGTTACATTTTTTTTTGTATTAGTTTCAATGAAATAAAAACGCCAAACAATATTTATATATATATATTTTTCTTTTTCTTTCTTTCGCTACGTCATACGTAGGTTTAATAATCATAATAATAGTAATCATAATAATAATTAAATAATTGGAATGTTTCTCTTTCATTTTTTTTTTAATATAATACATTTAACGTTTCTTATCTTTTTAGAATATTCAATAGTGAGCAATAGTCGCTCGCAGTGCAGGAGCGAGCGATGCGAGGGGGCCGAAGGACTTCATCCCTCGGAGCCCTTGCACCCTCACGTCCTCAACGAGCCAGCCGCCACTGACAATAGCAAGCCCTGAAGTCGTGTCGAAGTGTAAAATCGAGTAAAAGTTATATCTCTTCTTCTCATCCGAATCATCATCATCATCACCATCGCCATACATATATAATATATATTTATTAAGTAAGATCTTTCTCTTTTCATCGTCCAGGATTATTTTTTTAAGTAATAGTTGCAGTTTGTGGTTGTAGTTAGTAGTTGTACATTTTGTGCTCCCGTCGTCAGTTGTTGCTACGCTCGCTGCGATGTGCATTACTTCGTTTTATCAATAATCTTTCCCATTACTTTCGTTATCAAAATGAATGCATTCCCTTTTACCATAATATCCATTATATTATATAATATGTGATGTCGATCTCTGTTCGTTCCCTTTATAATTTCGCAAGAAGGTTTTTACTCTGTTATTTTTTTTATTATTATATTCTTCATATTATTTTTTTATTTATTTTTTAAATATTGCTCCATAACGTGTTTTCATCATCTTCTTCTTTTCCATTAAATTTCAGACTCTTATTCAGTGCAATTGTGCTACAAGTCGGTTAACAATTGGAGTGACGGTACTGTGTTTTCTTTCATATATTTTTTTTTAAATTATTATTTTATCATTTACTTTCTAAATGTTTATCAACCTCTATGTTCTTTTTCATTTAAATAATAAACCTTTCTCTTAGAATCTCCGTTAATTACTCTTTTTTTTGTATGTACAGGAACGCTTCTCATGCCGGAGAGCTCGCTGATTTTGCAATGTAAAGTGCGTAATTTTAATCTTCCTCATGCTGCTAATTGTGTATGTATGTATGTAATATACGTACACAGATAACGCCGAGACGTTTCTCGTTGTTATATGCGCACGCATATGTTAGTTCATCCGTGCCGTATCAAAATGAGGAAAGAAAGTAAATGAAACGAGAAATATATATATCTGGTTTTGATGATGAACTTCGTGTTCGCTTCTTCCTTTCTTATTACTTGTTTTCCTTTTAAATTTACTTTTCGTATAATGAACGCGTTATATTTTTTTCTCTCTTTCACTTCCAGTGTAAACTAAATATTATTTACAGTCATCGGTGTAAGTAACTCTATCCTTTTACTTCTCCATCAACGTTTTTCTTTGTTATTAATTCATTTATACTGTCTGTTTTTTTTATCATTTTTGGCTACGAGCGCGTGTCCTACCTATGTTATTCTCCTTCACCTTCTTCATCTTGTATAATATATATAATATATCTTTAATTACAATAATAATCATTATATTACATTTTAGAATTTCGTTTCGCGTTTTTTTTTTATATTTTTTAAATTATTATTTTTTAATCATATGTGTTACCCTAACGACGCGATTATAGTGGATCCCTGAAAAAAATACACGAGGGGGGTGGACAACGGTCGCCACCTTCGCCTTCTTTGGGGTGCGAGGACAGTGCGTGTGTATATGTGTGTATGTGTGAGTGTTTATTGAGTGTGTGTGTGTTTGTGTGCGATTTCTACTTATTCTCTTACTCTTTTATTTTTCCTTCTCTCTCTAAGCCGATTTCGATCGTAAAAATTGACTGGGATTGTTTCTTATATATTATATACGTTTTTATTCTTTCGTCTTCAACATCTTTCTTCTTTGGTTCTTTTTTTTTGAGGGGGCGCAGTATAAAAGAGGAACATATGTACAAAACCTAACCGATGTTCACCACAATCCCTTAACTCGTGAGCGCATCGTCCATTAACCACCCTTCGCCTGGTCGGAAAACCTCGGACTTTTAGGTGAAGAATTGACAGTGCTTAATGGTCACACGCACCTCTAAAGAACGAAATAAAAATCGTGAAAGCGGGGCTAGTTTTTTTCTGTATCTTCCTTTCTTCCATACACAATTAATTGAAAAGGAAACAATAACCTGCTAATCGCTGTTCTTTGCCTCTTCAACTATCGTCTCATATTTCTTTCAAAATTTGATTTTAGATTGGTCGAAACAAAAATCAACGTCTTCATACTGCGATCAACAATAATAAATGTATCCTCACACGAATTTTTATATGAGTTGTGTATGTGTTTTGTGTTGTAGATTTTATTTATTGGTTGTTTAGCGAATGATCAGGGTATTCTATATACAAACGCGTCTCGCCGAGGAAGCTACGCAAAAGTCTCTAAGAGTTTTATACTTTTCTACGATCGTTGATAAACTACTCTTTCGCTCTCTCTTTCTCTCTCTTATGTATTATGGATCCACTCGAATTATGAACGTCTCTTTCTCACTTTTTTTTATATAAATTACTTTCCTTTCCCTCTTATTACTTCTTGTTGTTGTTGTTGTAGCTTTTGTCGGTTTGTTGGTTTTGTTTTTAAAATGCACGAGTGTTTTGTTTATGAGCTCTATATTCAGTTCACTTGTTTTATTTGTCTTCCTCCAGCAGCACTAGATCGTCCGCCACAACATCTGAGATGTGCAAGTAGATAATCCAGTACATGAGGTTGAAACACACGAAGCACACGGGGAACACGATGCGGGAGTATTTGTCGATATCGGATGGCGTGATGCCGTACAACTTGTTGATGTCCTTGCCCGGGTGGATGATGTGCTGGGGTATTGGGGGCGCCGACTCCTCGTCGGGCCCTCCACCTCCACCGCCACGGCCCCCGTTCACGGTGCTCTCCAGTGTTCCGCCCTTGCTGTGAGCCTTCGGGTCGTGCACTTTGAACCGCACCTCCTGGAACAAAGGTTCCCACTAACAAGTATCTAATAAAATCAATATACAGTATACATTCCAAAGATAACAAGCAGCACGACTACTCAACACATCTAATTATATACGTACGTTATCCGCTTTTAAACTTATTTACTAATACAAATTTTAGTATAGGTATCACAGAAAGCTTCCCAGAATCAATGCAAGTCTCAAAATCATTATCTAACTTGAATCAAAATATATGATTATCAGTCATTATAAAATGTATATTTCTATAAACAAATAAGTTTCAATTTTTGTATTTAAAACGACATATTAAATACATTATCCATTATTTTACACCCTTTATTTTCACCAGTAAAGTTTATTATTCTTCATAAATAAATTATATTAATATTATTTTCATAGGATATTTAATTTAATTCTGATAATAACATTTATACATGAGATTAATCTAGTTTTTATAGTCTCGCACAGGGGTTCCCAAATTTTTTTGGTAGTTTTTCTTCGATTTTCGCAACGCCCCTGTAGCACTGCCCGGGACGCCGCGGCATAAATTTATATATAATATCAAAAAAGTTAACTAAATAATTGTATTAATTCATATATTGATGCCTCATAATTATTTTCTTGAATATTTTAAAATAAAACATTTATATTGTAGTTAATGTACTTTATTTCATATTATCAATTACTTTTAAGCAATTTGTTAATGCATTTATATCATAATATTATCCTTAAATTTGTTTTTAATAAAGGTTATGATTTTGAACGAATCTCAAATATTATAATAATGATAATAAATGAATAGAATTCTTTATATTATAAGTAATACTGAATTTCCATTGAATATATAAAAAATGCATATTTTATTTAGGTTAGTTATACTAACTCTTTCTAAAGACCAAATTCTGCGTACATTTTATATTTTTAAAATAAATTCTTTCAGAATTAATATGAAATTTTCAATATTTTTTTTATATGTCTAAATAGTTAATAAAAATTTACTAATGAAATATGTTTGATTAAAGTGCATTAAAGATTAACCGCCCATAAACATAGGATATAGGGTCAACAAAAGGTGTAATTAACAAAAAAAAATGCGCATGAGCTGTTGTGTGTTAAAAAATATCGATTTACCCGGGAGAATTTTTGTTTGTTTGCTTGTGGTCACACCCAAACATTTAATATAAGTTAGAAACTACTGAGTAGAATGACTGAAGAAAAATAAAATCAGAATTAGACACTTTATAATCATTCTTTCAAAATCTTAGTTTATTCAAATTAATCGCTATTCAATTAATTATATGAACAAAAAACTTATTGAAAAATATATAAATAAAAAATGTTTAACTTGGTTATTTATTTATCTTGCATAAAACTATACTCAAGGGAAATTAGTTGTAATTCGAATCTAATATTTATATATTTATGACCAGAATTAGTAACAAATAATATTTGTAAAGTTATCTTTGATATGTTATTTATTTTAAAATATTGCGTTTATTTGTTGCTCAGAAAGCGAAATATTAGTACATTGTACAAAATTTAGTGTATGTATACGTAGTTATGATCTTTGTTTATATAATTAGACAAATACGTAATATTAGACTTTATTAAAGAAATATTTAAATGAAATATGCGTATTTGTATTTAAAACAAAATCTTCATAATAATAAATGTACCATGAAATATGTTTGCTAATGAAATGATAATAAATGTTCCATACGTACATCACAGTAAACACATTATATGCAGTTCAGATGTTAAATAAATCACGTAATAAGCGAGTTTAATTAGCGAGCTGTTCGAATCGAAATTAATGTTTAAAAATAGCGACACGCCCGGCGCATCCGCCGTTCGCTCCGACACAATCGCAATTTATTCACATTCCAATTTCGATAGTTCGGAAGGAAATACAATATGGAATTGAATTTACTTGCAAAAGTCACGTCAAAAATGCAAATAAAATGAAACAGATAAGAACTCGTTCTCTCATTTAAAATTACCAGTATACAATAATATCTATTACAGTAATATCTCGAATAGTAATCAGGTCCTCCAATATCCCGCTTCGTTTAAAATCGTATAAAATCAAAGGAGACTTGTCTATGAGAGGATAAAACATTATTTTGTATGCAATTTTTTAAGAATTTATATTTATCTTGCTCAATTAAAATGATTATTTTTATTTAGAAAAATCTTATTAATGTGAAGTGAATTTAAAATCGATGACCTATATATTATTTGTAAAAACATAATTTATTCTGTGTTTGATTTTGTACGTCCTATATCTTGTTACGGTTATTTATTCTCTAAGGAATGATCAATAATAGATTATTTTATTTTTAATAAAAATATCATTATTCAATAATATTTCTATTAATTATTTTGTTGTTAATATGAATGATAATAAGTGGATCATGTTTTTATTTGTATTTAAATATATTTTATATCGGATCTTAACAAAAACGTGTAAAAACAGGTTCGATTGTAATTGGTTTTGGAATTACTGATCCTGTTGGATATAAGTATTTTAAATTATTAGAATTTTTAAAAGATTTTATGTTATAGTGTGGCCTCGAACTTCAAAAAATCTAATTTAAGAAACTGTTCGACTTCTGAGTTAAATTTTGCCTTACAAAACAATTTTAAATTGTTTTAATGCATTCTAGAAATCTAATACAAAGTGTACGTTCGTGCGAACAAATATAAACCATTATAATATGATGAATATAAAATTACAATGCATAAAATAGTATTTTCAAGTATAGAATCTTTAAAATAGTATATGTTATAGTTTAATCTCGAACTTCGAACACAATCCGTTGCAGGAAACTGTTCAACTTTTGTGTAAAACTTTGCCATAAACAATAATTTTAAATTGAGTTAATACAATGTAAAAACTCAATTGAAATAAGAATTATATAACTACTGTTACATGTTATAGTTATATAGCTTTTGAATGTAGTTAATTTAAATTTTCTAATTCTTATAGTATGAGTATTAAGAATTACTTTATAGCTTAATTTAAAAAGTTATGTCAAAAAAGTTAATTTCATATTTTTATGACATTTTACGTAGTAAAAATCAAAGATTTCTATGATTTTATTGTACTTAAATTTATTTACTATGAAAATTTATAATATGACAGAATATTTCAGTCATCGTATTAATACTAGTTATAGAATATAATTTGTATATATACTGTATATTCATAAACTCATTTAATTATTCAGTTTTTCTATTTGATTTAAAAATTGTGAATCATTACTTGTTAAGTAAATTAATTGGTAATATTTATTAATATTAATTATGTTATATTATTAAATTTGTCTCATTTTTTAACCTTTTCGTGTAGTAAGCATATTTTGTATATGGATATCAAAAATTGTAACAATTCTATTTATATATTTAGGTAGTAGAGTGGTAATTGCATTTGATTGGGATGTAGTTAATTTATCCTTGGCAATATAAAATATTGGTAATTAGCTATCAAACTGGTGAGTGATTTTTGATATAATTATTATTCAATTTTGAGGTCGAGATTAATATCTTTCGGTTAAATGGGCAAAATCGACTGGGGCGAAGTCGACGACACAGACGAGTACTCACTGTTTGTTTTGGCGCATGATCGCCATCCGGTCCATCGACGTTCAACTTCTTCTGTTCGGCAATCTTTTGTATGGCCAAGAATCGGTTCTTCCTCATCTGTATTCGTTTGGCCATATAACCGACAGTCGCATATTCTAAAACACAAGCACGCAATGAAATCGGTTAGTCTATGATTTGAGGTGGCACGAAGGATGGAGGCATCACCTAAAAGGCTGGCGAATACCATGACGAAACACGTTCCCAAATACACGTCAATCGATTTGACGTACGAGATCTTTGGCAGAGCCGCGTTCGTAGAAGACATTAAGGTGGTCATCGTGAGTACAGTTGTTACTCCCAGAGCTACTCTAGCCGGTGTGGCATTGCGATTTAACCAGAAGCTAACCCAAGAAATAATGACAATAAGGCCGGACGGGATGTAGATTTGAATGAGGTAGTAACCCATGGAGCGCACGAACTGGATCTCGCAGGCGAGGCGGGAATAGTTTCCTGTTCACCGACAAAACAAAAATAAAGCATACAAGAAGAAAAATGGGGACTCTATAGAGTTCAATGGTTGGTTTCATTTTTGGAATTATAAGTTTACAGAAACTAGGATTCGCTATAGAAATTTGGCATGCAGAACTTAAAATAGAAAATAATGATGAGTCGTAAAAAAATATACTTTGTAGTTTGGTCATGCTTTAAATAATTTACAATACTTTTTTTTATATAAATAAATAAATATATTTTAACAGTTGAAAATGAAAGAATAAGCGTTTGGATAAGATACTGATTTTTTTTGTTTGATGAGGATTTGAGTACGAAACTGGTTGTAACTTTGTAAAAAAATTCTAACAGGCGGTAATGAAGGTAATCTCGGGTCAGGTACCTGTGGTAAGGCTGATCTCCATGGCCCTCTGCCTGTGCCCGAGCACCTTAAACTGGGGTAGCGATACCTCGTTGGACACCCCTACCGAATTGGGGCCCTCATTCCATTTATAGCGTATATCCCGCATGGTGTAACCGACTGCAATCACAAGCCAGTGCCAACTGCTAAATTTTTGCCGAAGGCAACAACACTCCGCAGCCGTATCAAACCAAACGGGACAAAAACGAAACTAAACCATATTGTTGTATATATGTTCATATATATATATTTATATATAACAATAATAATAATAAGAAGAAGAAGTAGTAGAAGAAGAAATAGAAACGAGGATTTAAAGAGAAAGAAGGAAAGCAAGTTGGATCAGTGTGGTGTGTGGTTACCTGTGGTAAGGTTAATTACGGTCTGCCTCTGCCTGTGGCCCAGCACCCGGAACTGAGGTAGCTCCACTTCGTTGCTAATGCCTACGCTCTTACTTCCGGAATTCCATTTATAGAGGATGTCGCGCATTGTGTACCCGACTAAAACCCGGCCGCCAGAACAGACAAAGCTCGATAACATCCTTCCCTTCTTTTTAATGTCTTAAAATAACACCCAAAAAACCAAAATAAAAGAGTAAAATGAAAATGAACAGAAGGTAAATAAAAGTAACGTCTTTTCCCCCAAGCGATTTATAGAGACAAAATAAAAGAGACAAGAAACATGAAACTGTCGTTAGAACGGTATGTTTTTTTTTGCTAGTGGATAGAAATGAAATTAAAATGATGCCGGCCATGAGAGCAGAGCGACATGCTGATGTGTGTATGCACTTCAATAATATGTCTATGTATAAATATATCGTTTCTGTTGGTGTATAATATTGATGTTCTTTAATAGGACAACCTGCCGCTCTGCTGAGCACTACATGGTGAAACCACTACGCTAACATGAACATGATGTTGAATACGGTGTTAAATCCAATATTATTTAGTAATACAACATAAAATTAAAATAAAATAAATAAACCTCTGAAATAAAACAATAGGAATAATGTCGTATACAGAACTGAAGGATATGTAGAAGCGCAAGCACGTGCAAAGCATGGATAAATATATATATATATATAATATTATATTTTGTTGTATTTCCGACTAGGACCACCAATGAGAGGGACATGCACATTGAACTTTAAAAAATAAAGATCGAAGTAAATAAGTTTTAATAAATGAAACTAATAGTTAAGAAACATAAAAAATAACAAAATAAGTTATATAAATGAGGATTGTTGATCATCTTTTTTCTCTTGTTTATATGACATGCTGTAGGTGCATGCGTGACTGCCGGCCGGGCGTCGTAGTCACAATGCGGCCGTCGCTCTTTAATCACTTCGGGGGCGGCAAAATTGTACATATATTTTTTTTGCAGGGGCAGCGTTTTTTTTTGTTTCAAATATATTTTTTGGTGTCAAATCTATTGATTTGGCTGGAGTGTGCCGCCACGGTGCAGTAGCGGTGAGCAGGACGTATCTGCTGTTGTTGCTCACGATACGAACACTATCGGTCCTTCCGCGGATGCTGTATTCGAGAAGGAGACCGCAACCAAACCACAACATATACACAAACCCAGAGAGGGGAAAAACAAAATAAGTAAAACAAGAATGTAACGAAAACATTTATAAAAAGAGAACGAAATGAAAAAGGAAACAAGAATTTATTGTATTATTTTGTTTTAATTTCTTGCTGCTTTGTTTTTTCATTTCGTCATCGGGGGCAAGTGGCTCAAAATGAAGAGAAAAATAAAAACGTTTCGTTTGCTGTTTTCGTTTTCAGTATTTGGAAATGCGGCTGCGGGGTCCGGATGGTCAGTTGGCGAAGACCGACCGGACCTGCGTGTCAGCACGGACCAAGAGCTATCTGTGTGCAAAAGTGCTCCAGTGTCCAGAAAAACAAGCCAATTTGTTTGTACACTCATGTATAAACAGACACATGTATATATGTATAAAGGAAACAAAGAAACAAAACACAACAAAAACAACGAACAGAACACTAAACAAATTGTCGAGAGTATACGACACAATAGCTGCAGACCTTCCGGAATTTTGTCGATAAGAAACTCCCCGCTTGTCAATCAATCAATCAATCGAGCATTCAATTCAGTCGAGCAATGCAAAGCCTGATTTCGTGCTTTACTTATAATTCTTGCATTACTGGCATATTTTTGAACATAAAATGTATTGATTATGTTCGAAGATCAATTAAGTAACACATTTAATGACGAACTCATTTATAACACAATTTAATGGACCACAATTTCTATTATGTTACAATATGTTACTACGCGATACTTTTCAAGTAATATATACAAGATTGACGGAAAGCTCAATTGTTTGTATTCCCCGCGATATTTAACATCTATAGGTATTGGGCAACAATATTTATTATTTTTTCACATTCTACAATTAAATATTAATAAATTGAGTAATTTAGATTTTTCACGTAGCAATTGTTTATCATTGTGTTCTGAATAGAAAATAAATATGTTAGTTTACTAATAATAGAAGTTTTTTAATTGTGTTTCAATTTTGAGAAATTTAATTACATACTGAATGATTTTTGTTTATAAAGATATCAGTTGACCTACATTTGCAAAAGAAAGTTCAAATTATTCCATCTCCCTCTTATAAATATATTTTTTTGGTTGTTGTACTGTAGAGGAGTTCGAAATTTTAATTTAAAGTTCGTTAAAAGGGTAGATGGCAGGGTTGGCTAAGTTGCGCAAGTCACGGCGATAACAAAAGTGTGTGTGAATCACTTTGCTTCCTTTCCGGCCCGAAGTTTCGGTATTCGCGACGGTGGAGTATCTTATCGTTCCGGATGTCTATTGAACATATATAATAGTGCAATATAGGTATTGTATTGAATTTGCTTTTGATTGTATAAATAGACACATATGTAATAGAGAAAGTTTGCTTGATTCATTGCACAAAAGCACGAACACAGGTATATCTTTTGAAGTTCACATTAAAGAAACATTAAAAAGAAAATGAAGGTAAATTATAATGTGTACATTGTAATTTCCCTGATTCTCCACATAACTTTGAAAATATTATATAAAACAACAAAATTAGTACACATTTCGGTTAGTATTCTGTCGGAACAGTAAATGTCATTTGGTTATTAAGAGATTGATTGGCTGAGAAATTAATTATACTTACAACTTTCGATTTCTATGTGACACAACTGGCGATCCATAGGAAAGTATTGTAGGTTCATGGGACATGATGCTGTAATTGTTAGTCTGGAAAAGAGATCGGATAGGCAAGGCCGGATGGTTTTAGTATTAGTACTCGTATTCTAAGTTTGACGTTTGGCGTTAAGTCAAGTGCTATATGTACCGAATACTTCTCGTAATCGATCCTGAGTGATGAATCCGAATGAACTCGTTTGATGTGGTTGCAATATGGAAGTACGATTGTTTTTCGTTTACAAAAAATGTGTCAGGCACCCAGATGTTCTTGATGAATTCCGAACCGACCGACAGCGTCTCGACGCCGGGCCTTTTCATAAAGGCCAGCCGCGGGTCTGTCCAGAATTGTCGAAAATAAAAATCCAGCGTGAAGTCCTAGCAATCACAAAATAGACAGTTAGCGTCGTGTGACATCTGTTGGCGCGATAGTAACTAATATATTGTAAATGATTAAAATACTAAACAAGACCACACTTCGAGGAATGTCGATCAAAAGCACTTGCCATCGTTTTAAATGTTGCAATGTCAATTGCTGGTAGTTGTTAGTAGTGTTTATGATGAGGACATTTTTCGAAAGCAGTCGTTGGACAGACGATGAGGCCATGCAGAGCGGTCATGCTGATGTCAGATTAGCTGCATTCTCGTGCATGCAACATGTATTGTTAGTAGTTTTCCAATTATGCTCTATAGAAAATGAATATATGCGAGAGAATCTAAGGGGTGTTGTTGGCGCGATGCCAGAGACGCAATGCGACTGGTGGTACAATCACACTCATACACACGCAAACACACACCCTCTCTCGCTTTCTCTAAATATGCACATAATGAGGTAATAAAGAATATAGGTATATACTATATAACTATACTATATATATAGCAATGATGTGGTGATGATGGCGTCGATAAGGGGACTCGCCTAGTGAATGAATGTTACGTGAATCAAAAATTTGAAAACTGCGGAGGAGGTTTGTTTTGGCTTGGGGTTGGTGGTGTGGTTTCATAATTATTTATTTTTTTTGGAAGTGAGAGTTATTCTGTAGCATGCAGCATGCCTACTACTACACTCAGGCGTTTACTTATCTGGCAGGTCCCGAGTGCACTGTGCGGGACAAAGGATTGTACAAAGAAAACGGAGGGACGATGGCAAGGGTTAAGAACAAAAATAAAAAAAGGGTGTGGACTCGCGCGCTCGACAGAGCTGGCGGAAGGGGGCAGGCCAGGGTCACGTCCTTAAGTGACCTTAAACCTTGATTTGGTTTCCATCGGGGTCTCGAACCCGTCGGCTTTGTCATCATCACTCGGTGGAGTTGTTTTCGGTCCTCCACCGGGATGCGGCCCCTTCTCATCACATCAAAGTCTCACCGATTTGTCGGCCGATCGCGATTTTTCGGTTACATACATATATATTTTATTATTAATCTTTTTTTTAGGTTTGGATTTGGTTATTTTTTTTTGGTAATTTTGTTATTTGTTTTTGGTTGGTGTTACTATATATTGAAATATATATAGTAATATTATTATGTATAAAATATACAAAGCCAGCACAGACTGAAGAGGCCATGCACACAGTCCAAGTATTCAAGACTGCGACATACACACAATACACACATTCATATCAGTCCGGTCCGGATCTCGTCCGCCGGATGTATAGTAAGTAAAATTATATTATACATATAAATACATATTATATGTTCATAATGGAAGTATATATCAAGTACAACACGTATATATATATTTAGAATTTGATGGGAAAAATACAACATAACATTGGCATAAGTACCATGAGAACTTCGGAGACGGAGCTGATACTGAGCACATACATGGTGACTCCCACCTCCACGGGGGGGCCTGCAACCGCAAATGTCGCGACATGAAAACCAAATCAACCTGCGTGCCCCAGGCCTGCCCGCCTGTGTCTATGTCTCAACCCCACTCGCTGATGATGATACGGACACGACACTACAGTCACCGAGACTTTAATTATTTCAAATTATCAACTATCGTATATTTCATCAGCAGCGATCACGAGTACTTCCAAATTTCTTAAACTCTTTCTTTCCACAATTCAATGATCATAACAAAGAACTCAACTATAATATAATATTATACATTAATTGTCTGCTATAATGAGTTAAATGATAGTTATACAAACAAATTAAATAAATAATTTTCACAAATATAATGAATTATCAATCACTCATCATATAAAACTTATAAATATTTCAAATTTAACCATATAGTTTTATTTGTCTTGTAAGATAAAATTAATTAGCGATTTATTAAATTTTATTCTATGATAACAATTTAATGTAACAAATTATTTTTATGTTTATGAAAGAAATTACATTACCAGATAACAAATGGTTAAAATTTAATTTCTGAAGAAAAATTAACAATTATTTTAAGTAATAATCCATAAAATAGATAATTAATTTGATGCTCGTAATTATATTATTCTCAGAAATAAATGTTAATAAGTCAGATTTATTTGAAATTCATAATATTTTTGACTATGTCTGTTTTGTCATATTTAAACAAAAACTCTTTGCATATATATGTTCTTTATACTGTTTATGTAAAAGTTGTATAACGTAATATAAGTCTTTGTTTATAAAAAAAACTGTATTAAAAATATAGCAATATAGCAGAAATATCTTTAGTCGAAAGAACCAATAAATTATGCAATTGAAAATTCTTGGTAGTAAGATAACGTTTCTTATTTTATTTTAATTTATTTCTTCTGATAGCAATAAATTTATTTATATATTTTAGCAATTTGTTTGATTCTGTTTTGTTTTATTGTTATGCAATCATTTGATAACAATACAATTAATTTCTATATTATCAAAAGAAGGTTATCATTTCATATAAAAATATTTCTTAACTTTTTATCAACGCTCTTCAAAGTTGCATTTGTTATATACGTTATGATATTAATTTAATAAGCTCATAACGCCTACAAATTGAAAAAAAATGTATTACTGAATGTAAATCAATAATTTTGCGGAATGACGAATGACATTTGATAAATGAATGTATGTGTGTAGTGACGCACGCAAATGTTTTCAGTTAATCCAAAAAGCAAATAACACAGTTGAAATGTGTCAAAAACTTTCATTAGATTCAGCATGTGTAATTTCATAACGTAACACAATTAGACAATGCAAATGTTATCAAAATAAAGCGGGCGCTTTTATTTTTAGAACCATAATGGCTGGGCGCTTGTGCTTTTGCAGATACCAGATTACGCCCTTCTCCGGTTGAATTTTATTTTTGCGCTAAGTGAACAGAGAAGGAGGGGTCGTTAACCCCTCTGCACCTTCGTCCAGATCGCTTCATCACAAACACACTTCCCGATACGCAAGCCAAATTATTATTTAATAATCCGCTCTTAACGTTCACCTCTCGTCGACTTTTCGTGAGAGTGTTTCATGAGTATTAAAGTAAAACATTGATTTTCACGTACGTCGCCTGTGTGTGCTACCAGTGTGAAAGTTTTCAGACACGCACTAATTGCAAAAATGAAAAATCGATATTCCGGTCAAGGAAAGAGAAAAAAACTGTATTACATTAATCTACAAGAAAGTCAAACCTGCAAACAGTTTCATTACAGTCATTTTCTTTATGAATAATTTCAATTGTTTTATTTAGTAAGAAATCATATTTAAATGAAATTTAAAAAATGAAACAAATTAAATATTAAAAATCTTTTCAACCGAATGCTATTATTACTTGATCTGTTATGTAACTATTTTTGCAACTTTTACTTCATTTATAATACAAATAAGCTTTTGTTGCAAAATTTATTAGTTTTATAATATTTTTGGAAAATCAATTTTTTATTTAAAGTTCTTTCAAATTTAAATTAAACTACTGTTTTTTGTTGTTAATATTTCAATATTATAGTTAATAATTAATTCTTTAATCTACTGTGTAACTATTAAAAAATTGAGTATACTTAGAACGCTTTAACATATCAGTATTTTTACTAGTTAGTTGATTAAATGTAATGATTTATGTATTTGTTAATCTTACACTTTTTGTCTGTAATTATTTGTGTTATCTTAAAATTGATGGAGTACATAATATAATAAATATATAAAATAGTCCGTCAAATAAATTAAATAATAAGCAAAATTTATTGGATAAACCCTACAAAGTGTTATTGACCAAATCTGAGGTCGCCCTATATAAATGATATTATCTTTGATATGTAGATTTATTAAATAAATGTTAATTATGATATTTTAGAAACCAGTTTATTATTAAATCTCATAATATTTAAGCAGGTGTTGTAAGCTAATGTCTCTAAGTATTTTAACTAGCAAGTCTATAAATGAATAATTGTAAACAAGATGATAGCATATATGGATGTGATTGTTTATAGGTCATTTTAGTTAAATCATGGTTTTCAATAGTTATTATTTTAATTTATAATGTATTATATTATAATATTGTTGATTTAAGTTGTTTTTAAAATGTCTGTTTAAGAAATTTCGATTTTTTGCTGTGTATTTGTTTAAATTTTGTTGTAGTGAGCGAGTGAGGTTCTTTTTGGTGAGGGAAGAATGGGGGGGCACAAGACACAAAACCAATAACCAACTACGTTCAGTCCGATTAACACATTGTTTAATACCATTTGGACCTCGGACAGCGAGCTGATACTGAGAACGTACATTGTGACTCCCACAACCACAGGCGGGCCTGCAAGTGAACAAGAAGGACCTTACACCTTGTTAAGGTTTGACCAACCAACCCGCCACCCCCAGGCCGCCAAGTGCCAGCGCGCAAATCAGAGAGCGGATCCGGGTGCGGGCGTGCTTTGAAACTCAATTCATTAAACTAATGTAGTAGTTGTAGTAATAGTACTAACAGTAGTAATAATAATAATAGTAGTAATAGTGAACGATAGTAGCTCTAGAAGTAAATATTTGAAGGAAAATAAAAAATTGAACGAAATCAAAAAAATGATTGTTATGATATTGATAATAAAAATAGTAGTTACGAAAGGCTCTGGGATTATTGTTAAGTGATAGTACCATTTTAACTTCAGATAGGGAGCTGATGCTCAACACGTACATGGTGACTCCCACCTCCACGGGCGGACCTGAAAGTACGTCACCACGTCTCATAAGTGGCAGTGAGGTTTAACCCGGGCATTTTGCATTCCAAAACAAATGTTTATACTTTTAAAGAAACCAAACGAGAATAAGAAAAAACAAATAAAGAAAAGAAACAAAGTAAAAGAAACGATAATATGAGAAAAGAGAAATAAGGGACGAAGCACGAGGTCGTCCGAGGACCTCGAGCGCCCTTTTTGGCCGCCGCCAGCAAAGGCCCGCCCGCCCGGTCGGCGGCTGCGAGCAGAATGGCGGTCTGGAGAGAGTGAGTGAGAGAAAAAAGAGAGAGAGAGGAGAAGCTACTTCTGCTGATGCTGCCTCTCTGCGCGTTGCTAGGCAACCCGTCACCCGCCCAACCATCGATCTATAGCCCCACCCTGACAACGCGACCCGAGCAACGAAGGAACGGCGCCAATACTAGGCAAAATCCAAACACAAACACCCTTTCAAATAAACAAATTCACCAAACCCCCAAATTATTTTTTTTTTCTTCAAAATAAAAACACTACCAGTAATAACTCTATGTATTAAGCGCCGTTCATTCGTTAATCAATTCCTTACCAATCATCAACGAAATGTTAATTCGGTTAGCTCATTAGTTATTATACATATATTTTTTCTGTTTTGCTGCTTTCCTCAACTTACTTCAAAAATAAACTTTCGGTTATTTTTGTGATGTTTTTGTTGTTGTAGTAAAAATATGTTAGATTAAGTAAAAGGTACAGGCAATGCGATATCGCTCGACTCACCTCCGTAACTGGGTCTTACTCTTTTGTCGTAACTGACACTGAAAGAGTCTAGGATGGCAGATATGTTGACGTCGCCCAAAAAGCTGCCGCCTCCCATTGGTGGTTTACTAAAAGCACAATACATGCACACATTAAAATTACTAACAACTGAATGGAATTTATAAAGAAGAAAATGGGAATTGATGCTTTTTTTATATAAACGGTATGCATTATGTAGGGCGTGTTTATTAAAGTTGCGGGCTTTTGATGAACTCCTCCGGGTTTACGGGTTTTGGGTGTTGGTTTACGTTGGATGGGTGTGTGTGAAAGCACTGATTGCATGTTTTGGTTATTAAAGTGGGCATTTTCGTGGAGGGCCGAGAAGGACGAGGTAATCATCGTTTTACTTGGATGTATGTATAGTGATATTAATAATGTATGGCTACATTTACAGTCAAGGTTTTCAGTTTTACCTTCAATTCCCGTTGCCGTTTCCGCTCGGCTCTTTCATAATTGAGAATGCAATGTAGATGATGATGATGATGTGTGCACTTGTTCTATTTTCGTTGTGTACACCCAACGATACTTGATGATGATGAGTATGATGAATTCGTTTCTCTATTCATATATTTTGAGCTAGTTTTCTTTAATTGTTGGTGGATCGAGATGGGTAGTGTTGTGTTTTGTGGGTAATGTTGTGTTATTTTGACTTACCCGGCACTGGCCCATGGTAGAGCTAGTTGGACCAGCAGCACGGCTGGCCATAGCACCACCCGGCTGGGCCCCATTGCTTGGGGCAGCTACACGTGTCCCTTTCTCGTGCACCTCATCATAGCGGCACAGTTCACTCGCTGGGTCTGCTGGTGTGTCACATCCAACACCGACACTAGGAGTGGTCTCCGAGCCCAGGCAGGCCGTCGCCCATTGCGCATGGTGGCAAAACTCCGTGCGAAATAATCGCGTCTACGTCTGTTCTGGAAATCGACGTGCCTTCCCTATATCCATTTGCCCTCTCTTGAGGGTGTTTACCAGGACACGTACGCGCAACTTGCCCTACATTCCGGACGCAGCCGCAAGAACCTGGAACTGCTAGCACCTACCCAATCAATACCAGACCGCCCAGCCGCGACTCTTGTTATTGCTCTTGTCGAGTGACGTAATTCCAGTCAACACCGATACCTGCTAGGCTACATTAATCGCATGTCTTTTACTGATTGCCTCAATTATGCGCCAGGAAAAGGAGCGTTCAACACGTTGCGAGCCCTCACTATCGCCGGAGAACTTAAGCACACTCGACCCTTCCTCGCAGACACTCGATCGCACTTGAATATTATTGCCAAAACATGTATGCACAACATTCATAATTACTCATCTCCATCTTTGCCATCGCCATCTCCATAACGATAGCACACACCCACCAATAATAGACACATTCCTGTAATAACTATAGCACATCCAAACTAGGTACTTCACTTAAAGTGCATTAAACTGTGTATTACTTTCAACTCCATTCCATTCAAACAATGTTCTCTATAAATACAAATAAATTAATTTAAATTACCAAAGAAGCTAATGCAAATCTAATATAAAGATAAAACGAAAGGCGATAATCCCTAACGAGCGTGAAGAATTCCGAAAATATACCGCTCTGTATCTAATATCTCTCACCGTGCAACTGTAAGTAACGAGAATGTAAGTTTAATATGCATGATTAAAATGAAAATGTGATGCGGTTCGTACACCGTGTTTACAAGGACGGCGTTTATTAAGAAAGCAGAGCCCGACGGAAAGGTGACTAAACTGGAACAAAAAATGAGAAAGAGAATGTACTAAATTATTGAAAGAGTAGGTCCGTCATTAAGGGAAGTGCAACGACAAAAGGCATTGAAGGCATACACCTTTATTCAGCATATTAAACATATGCAGTGCAAATATAGTTCATATAATACATTATTTTGTTGATTAAGTCAATTGAAAATTGTCTACTAAAATTTAATATACAGTAATGTTAACTACTTTATACATAAATATTTATACAAAATAGTATGATTTGTTACAACAAATGTTATTATTATATATTAATATCAAGTATTATAAAAATTAATAAAGTGGATGAATTATTGCAACAGACTATTTTTTGTTTTTTTTTGCGTATTATTTCTATATTATTTAATTTAATCTATTACTAATTCTAATTAATGCAATTATTTTTTTTCAGATAATAAGACGCAATGAACATAAAAATTGTAGTTTGTCTTAAAGTAATAAACTACAATTTTTAATTTGTATGATAATTTCTTAATATTTACTATTTGATTTTATATTTAATAATACTAAAATAATCATTATAAAGAATTGAAAAAAATTGTGTCAGCAACGATTACTTCAGTTTATTTCCTGGCTATTGTCACTCGTCGCAGAAACTGTATTCCTTACAATATCGTTCACCGCTCGAAACCCCCCACAATTTTCCACATTTAATTCCAATATCGCACGATATATCACATCCCATCAAATCAATCCGGACTTGCAAAACTTTCATGGAAATGAAAGGCCTTTCTATATTTCTGTGCAAAAAAAAAATGAGAGAGAGAGAGCTGAAAATAAAATAAAAAAGAAACTCTGAATAAAACAGAAATGATCCATCCATCCAGGAAAACTACGCGAATATTTATTTTATTGTATCTGAAATTCGCCACTCGGCCCCGTTTTCAGTTTTAGTTAGATATTTCGACTATTTGAGTTTAATCTCGGGGCATTTTTCATCCGCTTTTGTTCGATGTTTATCTTTTAGAAAAATAGTGGGTCGGTGAATGCGCCGGGCCAACGCACAACTAAATCGGTCAATATTAAATTCGATTATCTAACATAATTTATCAGATATTGCGGGACGCTATGCTGGTATCTGTTTCATAGGCTTCATTCAGCAAAAAAAAGGTTAGATTCTGCAGAAAAGCGAGTCCGGGAAGTTTTAAGGTGAAACCGTATAAAAATAGAATTTCGTCGACGGAATAAAAAGTTTTGAAAAGCGTATAAATATATGAATTTTATTTTGAAAGAAAAAAAAAATGTATGAAGTAGAATATAAGAATGCTAAATAAAGGAAGACGCGTGCAAGCGCTTTCAATAATATTAAAATTAATGCTGTTTTATATCTTTCGTATATGAGCATTAATAATTGAATAGACAATGTACTAATTAATAATAGACGATGAATGGTGAATTGTATGTGTATCCAATAAATTGGATATTCCATCAAGTAAATAAAATAAAGACAATCGGTTTTGTCTGGTGGCTTGAACCTAACTTTCTATAAATAGTCCGCTCGTTCTATTTATACATCTCGCAGATATATTTAAGCAGGATTCGTGTATTGGGTATCTCGTCCTTTTCCAATGCCTACATCAAATAATACAAATACTACTTGTTATAATTATATCAATATATATAGGTATATCTATTGTATATGTATTTATATACTATATTACATTATTAATTAATGAACTTTTTCTTAAGCAAAATACATATCGGTATAATATAATATGATGGAGGTGCCGGGCTATTATATTACTATTAGCTAAATTTAAAATATAATATCAAATAGTATAAAATTATAAATTATTTTTGTATTCGTTCCACAATATTGGAAAAATGTACTTATTACATTAAATGATTACTAGAATTATATTTGTTAAAATGATAGAAATGCATCAAATTTTGATTGTAAATTGGATATTTATTTCTAGCAATTGCTCTATGCAATTTAGATAAAAATATATGAAATAGCTTTTACAAAATGAAGTTGAAATTTAATTCTAGACTGCAAATACCTACAGTCCATTCCAATGATTCAAGTGTTTTTTTATTTGATACGTTTATACATTTTCTGTAATATTATATTATTGCAATGAAATATATTTATATTATAATATGCTATTTTGTATAATGGATTCAAATCATTTTTTTTTATAAATTCTATTGAAAATACATACCTAAATGTATTATTTAGATGCAATATTAATATTAATTATTGGAGGGTTCAATACTTTCAAGTTTCCAATTTTTATTTAAATAATTTAATAATATTTTGCATTTTTACTATGTTTTCTACATAAAATTATTTTTTATTACTATTTTTATTACTAATAATATATATTATATTATTTATTTACAATTAAAACAAAAAGTAAATAAAAAAGAAGAGAATACCAATTTCATATACAGTTGAACCTCGCATAAGAAAAATGACTCGCTTAACGACGTTTCGCATAACGAGTGACGATGAGAAGAAGTCCCTCATTGCGCGCCTTCTACATCATTTTTAAAACTTGTGTACTGTAAATGCAAAACACAAATGTATTGTGTCCAACCATTAATATAATATATAAACACAATATGTACGCCTTTTTATATAAATAAATATTAAAAATAAAAGAGACCTCTACAAAGTCCATGAGTTGATACTAGTAATATAAACAAATATAAACTCACTTCACCGTTTGTGAATTGTAAAATTGTTTCTAGTGTTAGTGGTCATTCTAGTTGCATCTTAGTATTGTTTGTGATCACAACATTTCCAAACTTGTGTTCAGACATGTTATTTGTGTTTTTATTGTGCAAAATTTAATATATGTTTTAGTATATGTTTTCCTAAGCGTAATAATAATAATAATTACTTTTCATATAAAATAATAATGATAATATTTATTGTAATAATCATGTAAAAAAATAAACAGATTACAACAATATTACAGACATATTATTTAAGTCTTTTTTTATATTTAATATTTACGTCCATGTAAAAAGTATGAACAAAAATTTATTAAAAGTAAAAGCAACAAAAAACTTTTTTCGAAGTCTTTATTTTTTTTTTACATAAATATAAAATAGACCCCTTTTTGATCCCATAAGCCTGTCGATCCTTGATTCCAAATACAGCTTAGCAAGAGAACTCGTATTATAATTCGGCTTAACATAAAACATATACATCCGGGAGTTCAGCAAAATGATATTGCACCCATAGAAACATTTCGAAATATTAAACTAGTAAAAACATAAAACATACAAAAAAGTTATATCCTATTTTCGAACCATAATAAATACGTAAGTATTTACATACAAAAATCAACTTAGATATAGCATAACTTATACATATATATATCTAAAATGGTTCAGAAACTACAAATTAGAACAATATTGTATTACGAAATTTGTACTCTAATTATATATTTAAAAAAATAATAATTAAATAATTCAAAAATTATCGTTTTTCAAATTTCTTTTTGTGCACTTTTTTCAAACATTGCAACCCCTTACCCACATGATATTACTGTACTTATAAATAGTATACTATGCATATTATTGTACTTACATAGATTAATGAAATTAATAGAAAATGACTAAAATAAGAATTATGTATCTGCTACTTTTGTATCTCGCGTTTATGTAATAATAGCTTTTGTAATGAACGTTTCCTTGTTCCTTCAATCGATTTAGAAATCTACATCGATATCTGAATGTTTAGTTAAGAGCGTAAGTTCATCCGACTATAACCCTGACACGGATTATTGGTATTCGCGGATTCGGTAACCGTGAGATACTTTTACGTAGACACGATTTTCTATTATTCTGACCATCGTGCATGCTTTGTAATTACTGTATTCGTTATGCTTTATATATAGTTTTGTCATCGCTAAACACGGTAAAAAGGAACATCCATAAATAGGTCAAGTTGCATTACCTCATACTGAAAACTCAGGCAGCTTGGATCAACGTTGTCACTGAATACATTTTTTATTCATTGATCTATGTCTGTCATCCGATATAAAAACGTAGTGAGTTTGGAAATTAAAAAATACAAAATCATATATAAAAAGCAAAAAATATCGATTAGGGCAGAAATTTAAACAGAAAATTTTATAAAAGTCTAATAAATAAATTTATTATAAATCAAATTATTTAATCAAAGTACTCATGTTTATATATCATTAAAATAAGATTAACCAATAAGATACGTTCCTACGTACGTAAGATACGTTACTTCGTTTTCAGATGTAAAAATACTATCACCAGAATGGGTATCCCCATTCATTCCTTCGAAAAGAGAATGAAAAGCTTATTTTCGAACAAAGAAAAATTTTATTAAATAAATAATCGTTAATTACACATTTTGCAATATGAATCTAAATTGGTTTCGTTGCTTTTGGAAATGAATCATATTATTCATTCAATGACCTACGTATAAATTGAGCCTTCTTGATATGTTATTTTCTTCTTGTAAAAATTCTTGTCATATTTTGCTTAAAATTGCGGACTTTGTTATATCGATGCTGCGTTATGAGATTAGTATGTATCAAACATTCGTCGTTCATTGAATCATCAATTTATGTTTTCGTTAAATATTTTAAAACTTTCATTTAAGATAAATATTTTCTAAATTTATTGTTAGTATTGTCTCTTTTCTCGTACTAAAAAGGATACCTAAAATTTATGAGTTAATTTTTAGAAAAAAAATTGTCAAACCTATTATCACCTACCTTTGTAGCATAAGAAACACCTCAATTGTAAGTTCTAAAGTTATGTAAGGTATCACTAAAAAAAACTTATTTATATCAACAAAAATAATATATCTTTTTTTATCGTTTTTTTTTTTAATTATTTTAAAAGTATAAGTCTCTGATAAACGTGTATTAAAAAAACTAAAATCGATGAAGTTGATTATTATAATAAAAGGAATGATGAATATCCATATTAAATGACGTAAGTTAAAACAAAGAGCGTTTCTGCAATTCCATTAAAGTTATATCTTTTTTTATAGTCATAATATAAAATTCTGGTTTGGTCATGGACACTGTTCTAGATTATCATCGAAACCTTGCACCCTTAGCACCACAGGCACGACGCCGTTGAGTGTGTATGTGTGTATCGTGCAGTGGAGACCTTCAATATGCAACCTACCATTAAGCTTCACGTATGCACGAACGGGGCACGGCGTTATTAAAAAATCAGTACTTCAAATTTACATCAACGGAGAATTCATTTTCTTCCTAATAGAAAATAAAAAATGGATTCGGGAAGGGTTCATTACATACATTCACACTCACATGAGGACAGAGAAAAGGAAAGAGAAAAAGAGCGGCAAAATAAAATATTCACTGCGTCCTTTTATTAACCAAAGTTCAAATTTACTGACATTTATTACATGTTAAAAAAAGAAAGAAAAGGGAAGAGAGGATAGGCTCCTTTCATGTATTATATTAATAGATCCGTAGACACAGCGGGAAGGGATGTATACAGTATATATACGTGCATGGTTATGGTCTCAGAGGGTTTCCACATAAAATAATCATATGCCACAAACCATACAACAAACAATTAATTATTTAATAGCCACATTCTAACATGACAAAAGGAAGTTTAGAATCCTACAAATGTCTTCTTAATATGCATTACGTACATTAATGTATATATAATAATAATTAGTAAAAATTGTTTACATTAACCATAATTTACTTAACTTATCCAACTTGTTTATATATTTTTTTAATTATTCAACCTTCCTCCTCTCTTTTTTTGTTGAAATATATATAAATAATGTATAGTTTTAATTAAAAAGATATGGTGATTCACACTTGTGTATGCGTGTTACTGTGAGGTTGTTCCTGTTCATTGGCTCCAGCTATTTGATTCGCCGGTGTGTAATACTGAAAAATACAGAAAACCCATTAGACCTTACAGTTTTATGACCGAACGTCGGCCTAAATAAATTCACATATTGACCCTTCGCCCCCTCCCCCAATACAACAAAACCGGGGCTTCCAGGGAGCGCGCGCGACCCCCACCCCCTCATTCCTCCAACATCGTTTCATTCCCAATTTTTTTTCCCACCTCGCCCTCTGCTCACTCAACTTTCATAACAGAACCCCCCGCGGTCCCTCACAAAAATACAAATAAAGACCCCGCCGAGGACCGTTAACAAATATGAGACTCATAATCAAAAGGGGCCGGTATGGATAAAAGGCATGCAAGTGTATCAGGAAAATAAAAAAGCAACCTTCCTCTCATGCACACACAATGAAAATATCATAATTATATCAGTAAAGTGGTTCGCTTAGGTTTTTAAGCCGCTGTAATTTAGTGCAAACAAACGATTCCGGATGCTTGCATTATTCAGCTTCCCTGATTTATATCGCAAAACTTACATTCTTTAGTAAAATATGAGGTACCAAGCGTACACAAACTACCGTTGCTTTTTATTAATAGCTTCTTTTTGCGGCTAGCTCCATTATTTTACGACTCGTAGTAGTATTTAAAGCATACATAGGATAAACAAAATAATAGTCTCATTAGTCAACATAATTCACTTCAATTCATACAAATCCATGTATTAGTTAAGAATATTTAGAATTTTATTTTGTTTACGTAAATATTATCCAAACATTATAATAATAGCTTGTTATTATCTAAAACCATTTTGAGATGTTTATTGCAATCTTTTTTTGTTTTTAATTATTTATTACTATATAAATATATTTTATGTTTCAAAATACTTTAAATTATCTACGTTTTATTAGAATTATGTTAAAAGTTATATCCCTCACGGACCACTAAACTCAAAATAAAGAATCCCGTGAACCACTACCATATTTTTTTTTCCATAAAACTAAGATTCTGAAATTAAATCAGATCCAGAATATAAAATGGCATTTATACTTGTTTTTCTGGATAATGTCTCTTATAAGAATGTAACATAATAAATTGCTAAAATATGCAAATAACCAAATTATTATAACTAGTAAATGAATATATAAAACAAATGTTATGCAGAAAATTGATATAAATAAATAATTAAATGCTGTTAAATTAATAATTTTATTAATTATTACTATACCTAAATTACGTCAATTTATAATTATTTGAGTTTTAATATTTTTAAATTAAATATATTGATTTTAACCAATAATAAAAATAAATAATGATAATAATAAAATAAAAATATCTATCTTGTCTTTCTGACCTAATCCTTTTTTATCTTAAATTATATATTTTTTTATAGTTTTCTTCCTAAAACTTCTTTTTTAATATTATTTCTTTGTATATAATCTTAATTTAATATCGTGTTAATTTTCACATTAATCAAATCGTATATGTTATTAATATCATAATTGTGCAAATGTATATAATTATGTAAATTTTCTATAAATTTGTTAAATAAATTAAATTTTATTTACGCTCCGCTATTTGCATTTCAAAATCAGTTGCGTACGATGCAAATATGTTGATTGATTAAACCCTGGAGTCGCATAACATAAATATAATTATTAGCATGGTATTTTTGCTAAAGTAATAATTTTACATCGAAAACAAAACATTTATAGGTATATCGTTTCGCAGCACAAAATATGTTTATTAATAACATCGTAATTAAATTAACCCGGATACTGGAAAATTGATGAGCATTAATGATGAACTATTTGTTTCGCACTTCACCGAGCATAACGTTTACAATTGATTATTGTGAAAAAAACACGCTTCGAAGTATTGACCTTTAAATAAAAAATATTTTTTTATATATATACTAAATAAATAAAGGAGCAATATCTCGAATAGCCCGGGTAATTGGTTTCGCCATTATCCCGGACTATTGAGAGTATAATGAGGGTAATCGGTACCGCCAATAACTATGGTTGTTTGAAACCGGACTAACCGAAGAACTAAATACAGCAATATCTCGAATAATACGACTAATCGGTTCCGTTAATATTCCAATAAATCGCGCAAAAATAAGCAAAACTATTTAAAAAGAAATTGTATTGAATAAAAAAATGGTTTATTTTGAAAAATTTTAACTGTTCCCTAATAAATACGCACTGATCGAAGCCGCACTATTGCTGTACGTATATAAATATGGTAACTTGCATGACATCAAAATAATGATGTACTATTTATTTCCTACTCCATCGAGTAGAACGTTTACAAATCATTATTGTTGGAAAATACACCTATATTCTGAATATAGAATTGACCTTTAAATTAACACTGTTTTCATGCTTTACAAACTCAATAAATAATTGTGTATATTGATGTTATAAAATGAAAACGTATATTATGAAGATGTAAAACATATATTCAGAATTACATGTATAAACATAGTAGTTAGCAAAGAGCTTGACACTAAAACTAACATCATTAAAGTTCTACTATACACAGAGTCATTTAATCAAATGACAATGTCGTGTCGTGTCATCTAATACAAATCAGGCTTAAAGCTGGAAGCGCTTAAAACCCTCCCGTGGTTATTCGTGCCAGGTAAAGCGACTAACAAAAAAAAGGTGGACTACGATTTCTTTCTCCGCTTTGCGCATTTCAAAGTTTAAAACCTGGCGTAATTGGATATGAAATTGGAAGTGAAATTTTCCATTTATTATTTTTAATGGACCGCCCTTTCTCTCGCAGAGCCATTTTTTCTGTTCGTAGATTAGCGTTAATACAAAGGGGATGGCACTGCAGTAGTCGTAGTGGAGATAGGGGATGGCTTCCGTTCAGAAGCCGGAACCGCTTCGTATTTCGGTGCGCGAATAATCGCAATATCCAAAAAAATAATAATGTAACACAGAACAAATCGTAATGATAATCATAATAATGAAAGATAATCCAGAGAACGTGGAAACTTTTATATTGCACATTTACTGATATAATTATGAAGTCGATATATACAAGCGCTAATAAAAGTAGACTTTTAATTAGTATCCATATGTATTTTGCATGAAGCGTGGAACGTGAAATAACAGTAAAATTTTAATACTCTTTCATGGGAATGAAGGGCCCGATTTTAATGTTATATTTATATATATATACACACATATAGATGTATTTATATACAGGGAATTTTATGGTGCTGATACATAAAAATGTGCTGATGGGTGTGTCGATTTTTTGGTTGACCCACCTTCGTCAATGTCAGCTAGAACCCAGGGCCCCATATCACTGATGACACAAATCAATTATAAAATAGTCAGAAAATAAATGGAATAACACAAACACAACAACAAAAAATAATATTGGATGGGAAATGCAACGTTTTTAGTTTGTTTATATGTGACGAGACAAATCATTATCCAATGGATTTACAATAATGACATTCATATGACAAGAGAAAGTAATCAAATCATCAACCATATTTTATTGGCTTCTACAGTAATATTGTGCAAAATTAAGCAAAGATGATTTAGTAAAGTGTCAAGTCTTTAAAACCTTTAATAGGTTATATTGATTATATAGTTGATGGTAAAAACTATAAGTCAAATTAGTTCGGTATGAAACTAATGAATTTTGAAAAATATTTTTGTTAGTTGTTATAAATGGGAAAAGTTATAATTGCTTAGATAGATGAATTTAAAGTAGATTACTTTAGAAAATGCTTTAGTAATTTAGAATCAAGTGCGCGAACCCAAACAAAATATTGCAAGATTGAGGAGCGGAAGTCTGGAAAGTGACGCGCACAAAGAATTTATGAATTGGGGGTTGGGGGTTTTCGCAAAAGAAACTAGGCGAGTGATATGGACGTCTACTCAAAGGAAGCGAGCTAAAAGCTGAAAAGATTCTTTGAATTGAAAAAGATGGATGAATCATACGGATGATTTAATGCTATCAAGAATAAAGAGAAAAATAAGTGTGGGCGAACGACAACACGAATGGTATCTTCAATGTTTGGAAGTCTGTATATTATATATAATATTATTTGCTTTGCAAGCTGCTTTTTACTAGTTTTAATGAGGTTTCTCGTATTGTCAGATATGTGATGGATGAACGGATGAATGATTTTAGAACATTACCCTTCCATTATCGATGTCTCGTCCGACGCCGATTGTGAGACGAGCCTTGGCTTTCATGGCATCACTCAGAGGAATCTTCGCCCTTGTTGCCTCCGTATGGGACTTGTAGCAGAATTCAATGAGGGCCACTGCGAGCGCGATCAAAAGCCCTCCGATCAGGATGTAGAAAATTCCGGCGACGTTACTAAGGGACAGCTCGTTCCTCGAAGCGTCCTGCAGATAGGCGCGCACAAAACGAAAACAGAACAAAGCAGAAGGGAAGAAAACACACAAAAAAGAGAAACGTGAGAGAAATTACAATGGAATTCGCAAATGGCAAACTTAAATTGAATTTAATTTCAATACCTGTTTATCGCGTTTGCATTCGGTCCTATCGAACCACCATTTGTTCATCAGCTTCGTCAGCTCCCCGTTCTCCTTCAAGTTTAACACCGCGAGATTCACGGCGTCCCTAAACGATTCGAACGAAACGAAGCAAAGAGAGAGAGAGATAGAGAAACAAACAAACAAAAAAGAGAAAGAGGAAACAGAATTGGTGATTTGCACGTTACGTAATGACGTACCTTAGCGGGGATCCGAGAGGCGTCGCGACGCCGAACCCTTTCGCATCCAAATTCCTACCTACTTTCATCGTGTCGCAGGGCTCGCGCTCATTTATGTAATCATTCTTCGGGGATTCTATGAGCAGAGCGTATTTTCCTTTCGATGTGCGAACTCGCCTAATGCCCTCGTTGTACGACTGCACGAACACCGTTTTACGGGAATTCATGTATTCCCACATTTTCGAGTAGAGCGTTATTTGCGACCGCTGGAAATATAATTAGTAATTAGAAAGTCAAATATTTTATGCAATGGAAAGGGTGGATGAAGGACGAGGAGTAGCGGTAAAGAGGCATCCACTTCGAATGCGGAAATAATTAGGGCCAACTTTTGTTGTTCCCTCTTCGCGCCATCTTCTCCCTTCAAGGAGATGAATTGTCAGCCGCAAACAAAAAAAAATATGGGGAAGAAAAGTCTTCCCCTTTTTAAATATTCGCTTTCGTGTATGCAAATAGAATTCTTATGCAAATAAAGAGACAACTGTATGTGGCGTGCATATCATCATAGGACTTCAAAAACTGGCTTGTAGCTTCCATACATTTTGTATCAAAACAAAAAAATACAAGTACTAATTACTGAATGCCAGTTTTGTTTAATTCTGTTTTTTTTTATGAAACATTGATTATTTTCTAAAGTTAAATCATAAAGTTGGTTAATAATAACTACTACACATCTCTTTTTGCATGGTTGATATTTCAAAATAATATATACAATACTACCTCTCATAGTGAGGAATCCGTCAATGCTTTTTCAGATACATATAATTTTAATGTAAATTTATAGTTATTTTAATTTTTAAAATTGCCTCAAACCAAATTGTGAGTACATTCTGTAATAAACACTGCACATGACAAATATTATATTTAATTAAATTTCAAATTAATGCAACCAAACACAATAATTAATTACTTATTAACTTTAATTAAACTGTAATTACGCAAAATTACTGAAATTCCGCAAACGTAATGAAATGTCATTCATACTGAATATTATCGGAACAAATAGTCAATATAAAAGTAAACATGCATTGTGCTTTTCAATCGTTTAATTTATTTATACATTTTGAATAATTTATGAATGTATATTATTAATACTAGTTTAAAATATGTATGGATATATAGAATAAATATATATTTTATTACTTTATCATGTGTTATTACTACATATAGATAATTTATATACAATTGGGTTAAAAATTCGATTTAATTTGACATATATTTTATAACAGTTTTGAAAGATATTCATTCCTTCTAATTTCGCTACTCCATAAACGTTCCATCAAAATATCTCATTCATTAATTTGGGTAATCAATCATTAATCTCCATTGATTATGTCATTATTGTATTCAGTTTTCATTATGTCAAAAAGTAATGTCTAATTTGTATTTATCATTTTACTTTCTTTACAAAGATATAAAATTTAATTAATCATACTATTTTTATTAACAATATTTTTATTACTTAAAAAGGAATGTCTGCAACAATACACATGTTTGTTTGTGAGATTATTAAAAATATAGTCATTTGGAGTTGATAATTTATTACAAACATGTTTTTAAAGATTTATTATGTAAGTCTTCTAACTAATTACAGGATAATAGCGGTAGCTACTGTTATCATAAACTTGTATTGACAACTAATTATTATCTGTAGTCAGCTCTCACTTAACCTACGTTCGATAATACATACTTATTTATTAATAACCGTAAGAACTTACAGCTCAGCCGAACCTGGCATTTATACGAAGCATTCATTTTCAGTATTTGACTTATTTCAATCATGTTGCGGTGTTATCTGTTTCTTTTCTTAATAAAACTCGTACTGCAGTACCTCGCATAGACCGGCTTCGATCAGTCTAAATTTATAATAGTCCAGTTTACAAATTTCCAAACAAATAAAATATTAAAAATAAACATTTTTTTGATAATTAAATGATCGATCTTTTCCCTCTATATAGGTTAGTTTATTTTAGTGCGGCTTAGTTAAATGCGGTTTAAATTTCTGAATAAACGTTGAGTAGTTCATGTGAATCAAAAAATATTTACGTATAAAAACCGTAAATTCATGCATTGACTTATTACACTTAAGTTTAGTGTAGGGCAATTTATATTCACTCTATGTACGTTAACTAAGCACTGATTTTAAGTTTAAATTAAACTTAGATTATAACAAAAGTAATTTGAAATTTTAATACTATTATTATTTTAAATAGTTTTAATAACATATATAATTAAAGTATAGCAATACCTCGCATAGTACGGAATCACTGTAGTATGTTTTGAAAATTTCTAATCAAACTAAATTTTAGTTCAGGAAATAAAAATACATTTAAAAAATATCACACAAAATTATTATTTTCTGTAAACAATGAAGTCTATTTTTGTGCTGTTTATTGTTATAGATTTATAGTGCTTGATTAGTACGGTTTCAAATAGTGCGGTATATTACCGGAACCCGAACTATGCAAGTTATTTTTGTAATTAGTAACACATAATTATATTATTCTTTAAATATTCGAATTTTTCGTTTTTAAGAACTACAACATTATTAAATTTATGTTAGTGGGAAAATGTCTAATTTTTTAAATGAATTTAATTATATAGACAATATAATTTTTCAGATATTTGAACAGCAAAATGTATGTCAATTCAGATTTATACCTAACAATATCCTTTTTTTGCATGCTGTTATCTCTGAAAGGTTTCGAAGATCACCTTACATATATACAAGTAAATATTGGATTCTCTCTCCCTTTACTTTTAAAACCATCAATATAAAGAATAAGCGGTATGTAAAACAAAAGCATTTTGACAAATTTTCGTATGTGTTTTCCGCTGAATTTCATTTCCACGGCTCGTATATATTTACGCCACAACAGTAAATGAAATATTTAAAATCCTAGACCTTCGACAGGTTTTCAGTTCGTTGTGTATCGAGCATCGGCTATACGTGGTTATCGATTTCCACTATAGCTTCGTTTATTTGAAAACGTTCTCAGCACCAAGCCCCGTTCCGGACACTAAATGTAATGCATAAACCGTATAATACATGTACCTGCCTACTGACACGGACGAAGGGAAAAGAATAAATTTGTTTCCGAATGTGGATGTTTCAGACAACTGATAAAACAAACATAGAGAGGCTGGTTGTAAGAGACAAAAAAAAAAGGTTTGTATACATAACGTGAAATGAATTACAATGCATATTTTATTTTTAGCTTTAAATGCATTTTGTACAGTTAATAATTTAAACTATTTAATGTACTGTTGTAATAGTATTTTTTAATAAACAAATTCCAATATAACATATGAATGGTCCAGCAACCATTTAATTTATTTCTGAAAATCAAAGTGTTTGAAATGCTTTAATCTTCGGATTGTCACACCGTTGTTCGGAAGGTGGCAACCTTCCTGCTATTGGTGATGTATTGCACCCGCGATTGTTTAAATATATAAACAAAAATATAATTATTATTAAATTATTTATTTATTTTAACAATTGAAAAACTGATGTTCTTCGACATTTTATATATGACACAGTAAATATATACATAATAATTTAAACATTTACTGCAATAAATAAATAAATTTTAACTTACTAAACTAATTCTATTTCTGAAGTGGAGTTATAAGTTTTTTTTTTAATGTTATAAGAAGTGCTATTTTTATAGCATAATATAATTATTTTTTATTTATTGCTTAAACGAGTCGTATTAAAATAAAACTTATATTATCTCAATCTGAATTGAACAATGCTGCAGACTTTTAATAATATTATTGTATGTTCATGTGTACGTTTAAAGAATGAACGTTACTTGAGCGTTGACTGTAAACTGAATAATAATAACATATTTTTTTGGGTGTGATGCATTATAAGTGTTTAATATCAAATGACATTAGAGCTCTTTATGACGGAGACATGGGCGATTCATTTGGTTCAATGTAAAAATGAAATTTATTATCGTCATTATGTAAATGACCACTAATTCGGTGGTTTGTGTTCGCTGCAGGAACTTTTTTATTGCTCTATGTGTGTATGTTGCCGATGTCTGGTTTAGTTTAAAAGTTCAGAGTTGAAATGGATAATAATAGGATTACATATTGTACTTACCCTGAAAAAGTCCCAGGTGGCTCCGTGATAAAGCGTTCCGTATTGAACCTCGGTTTGCGAGACGAGATCCTCTGGTGAATTTATCGGAGCGACCATTCGCTCGACGGTAAGAAATGCAGCGAGATTTGCCGTGTAGGATGAAATAAGGATGAGCGTGAAAAACCACCAAACGGAGCCGACTATGCGGCCGGAGATTGACCTGCCACAGATGGTGGAAAGCATGAATTTTATATCAAAAAGTAAATCGCTTCATATAACACGGCAGAAGAGAAAGAGAGAGAGAAACTGAGAGAAAACATATATGTAGAAGGAGTTTGTTTTACCTGGGCGATATATCGCACCCCTGTTGCATGAAGGCTCCTAGTGCGAACCACAATGAATTTAACATGCTGAAATCGTTTGCCATGGAATTGTGGGGTCCGTGCTGACCAGATGGATCTCTGTGCTCGCCTGTGAGATGGAGCAGCCTCCATTCGTACGGGGAGAATCTCGAGACGATGAAGAGGACGATGCTCACCCCTATGTAACTGAATATCACGCTCACCCAAATTTCGCGGGACAACGGGTTCAAGAAACTGAAAACGCCCGGCTTCTGTTTCACAGGCTTCTTTATCATAATGGATATACCTAGGGACATGAAGGGCTTGCTGAAGTCGATGACTCGCTCACGCTCCGACGTTATCGTCATGGGTGCTATCGCTAAATCCGCCTCCTAAACAAAACAAATCATTACAACAAATATTAATACATCATTCAATAACTTCGAATGAAACCATTTAAGTTAACTAACTATATTTGGATCACTTTTGAAATTGTTATACAAAATGATTATAATACTTTACTTTATAGAATGCATAAACAAAAGTACGTTAATCGGATAACGAAATCAATTTTAAATGCACTAATTTATGACTTTATATTACATACTCATCTATTTGTTCGCATCAACGTACTCGTCATTTCTACTAACATATATATCGCCTTCGTACCTTAACATTTTATTTATTTTTATCCACAAATGGAAAGAAGTAGATGACATCTTAATCAAATACATAATATGAATGCTCAATGCAGTCCAACTGATATAATTGTATCTTAAGTATGTAAAAGAGTACGAAATTATCCATTCCTTCTATACACACATGTATCTTTTTGTGCAGTTTATTTTTATAAGGTTTTATTGGTGGAACCTATTACCTGAACTATACTAAGTATTGCTGCATTATTTTCTTATTATTTTTAGATGAAGATCAAAACAAAGAACAAGCTAAATTAGAAATAATAAACCAAATATTATCCTAGTTATATCAAATTTTATAAACATTTTATTTAGTATTAAGTTCATAAATAAAATAAAAGTAGAGATTTCATATAAATTTCATAAAAATATGGATAAAATATGTAGAAAGATTTTATTTATTATGTAAAAAATGTAACTCCTTATAATGCTTATTTCATATTTCCATAGAGTAACAATTTTGATAAGACCCTTGCTTCGGAGATACCCCAGTTGAACCCTGGAGGGTTTTCTAGCGGAAAAGATTATGCTATTCTTCAAATGGCCTTTGCTTTATGTTTATGTACTTTTTATACCCATTGCGAACATTTTATTACTTGAAAGTTATGCGATGCGGACAATAATTCGACATCTTAATTATATTATTCTCTACAGTACACAATGTATCATCATTAACTCGGACAAGCACTTTTCAGTTAAAAAATAGATTTCATCTAGTGATTTATATTTATATAATTTATAACTAGTGAAATATTGTTCCGTAATGCACATACACACAAAATATTTATTACGAGAAATAACACATAATGTACACATGAAACATTATTTATGTAAAAAAATACCTTTTCCTAAAAAACTACTATTTCAATAACTTAAGTTTCCATTTATTATTAATTAAATTATATTATATTGCGTTTGAATAAGTTATGTAGACTACGGTCAATAGCTCTTAGTATGTTGTTGTACAATAGATTTTGTTTATTTTTATTATTAATTTATTCCGGATTGCGTCACCTCAAGTTACTTCGATTCATACTTAAATATTTCAAGTAATTAATGAAGTTCTAGAGTTGATTGAAAAAATCGATTCTAATCAAGACCGAGCTGTTACAAATCGCGTCATGCCGACAAATTTAAAATAATTAAGGGAATAAAATAGATTTCTATGTAGATATTCTAAAATATTTGCTATTTATGTTATTTTATTATTTAAGTATATTTATATGTACTGTAACATCAACATACTGTAAAATATATATTTACAGTTAATACAAAATGAAAGGAAAAAGGTACTTCATTATTGTAGATTCTACAATGTAGAAAGATAGCTTATTTTCAATAGCTTTATATATTTTTATAAAACAAGAAAGTTTTTTTTTAGAAAATTTACTTTATATTTCTATTTTTTTATTTCTATTATTTCTCAAATTTATAATAATATTTATAATAATTCCAATGGAATTTTATATCAACATATGTATTTCGATTTCACTTTTAAGGAAATATATTATATATTTTGAAGTAGGAAGACTTTAGTCAGTAGGTTAGTGGGCCCCGCAGTGAGCAACAATGCACCGGACCTGCAATCTGGGGGCCTCGGAGCTATAGGAAGTGGTCCTCAATTCTGAAAATGTATACTCTACTTAACTGATCTCTATTGCCTTGTGGCTAGCCCTAAGCACCAGTTAAGGTTGTTTCTCCTTGAAATGGCGTGGGGCCCCGAAATTCAAATTTGAAGTTACGCGACTTTACAAAATATATGTTTTTAATTACTGGCCCCATTCTATATTTATAAAAAGAAGACCAAAATCTAAAGAACATTTCGTAAATTATAATATTAGTTAATCTAATAGTGAATCGTTTTTTCTCACCATTACTGAAGCATATCAGCAAAATAGTAGTTTTTATTTTCAGATATTGAATTTATCTTTAAATTTACTATTTTGTTAGAGTAAAATATACACTTTAGTCCAGCTAACATTTTTTTAATTTATAATTATTTATTCCAAATGTTTCATGTTAATATTTATACCAACTTATGGTCAATAGGTCTTTGCAGTCGATTTTTTTTGTTTTATTGTAATTATTGTTGTGAATGAAAATGTTGCTTTTTACTGTTGCAATTACTTAATTTAAATTCTGAAAGTTAAATATCATAAGAATATATTATTTATTCTATAATATAATTATTTAAGTTGGTTAAAAACTTATTGTCTATAGTATTTGTTTCACAGCAATTTTTTATAAGCACATCATATGTATGAGATGTTCTATATTTACATAATAATTTGTATTTTTTTCTATTGGAGAATCGTGTATCGAAGGCGGTTAGAATGATTATTTTAGACTAAACGATATTTAGTTTATAGTGCAGCAAAGTGAATTACCGTCTGATCGATGTAAGTGTGTTGCAAAGGTCAACAGAATTGCATAAATGTCAATATGTAAAGTGGTATTATTGGAGGCTATCTTATTAATTACGTGCTGCAGACAAGTTGTGGAGCCAATGAAGGTCCGAAACGAGGAGTCAAGGGTCCGATACTCAAGCAGTTTCTATAAAGTGCACATACATAGATACACACACACATACGTTAGACTAGGGGAGACCGAGTGGTCTATTGATTTACAAATTACAATTATAAACTGAACTCACTTGGCGAACCAACTCTCCAACCATGCCGTCCCATCCGCCTTTCACCTCGTGATTTTCAGCGCCGTAAGTTCCATCCTTCACAATCCGGATCTCATCTGGTAATACGTAAGTTATAGATAGGTATATGCGAAGAACAAAAAAATGTAGACGCAGGATAAAAGAAGAGAAGCGTAGGGGATAATGGGAATGAAGAGGAATGGAGGCAGTATTACTGGGATTAATCTGCAATCGCGCGCGTTTGATGAATTACTCACAGTTTATTCCGAGCTTCTTCGAAATCAATTCGGACAAATCCTTGCAGTAACCCTCGAAGCGATCATTTCCAACGAGAATTTCGCCCGGCTCAGGGATGCGCACCATTATATAAGGCTCCTCCTAAAACAATATAAAACATAGATGTGAGCCAACTTCATAATCAACAGTCAAGTGTATATAAATCGGTTATATACTTTTCGCCACAAATGCACTTTTTTCATGGACACTATATATTTATGAGGAGCTCTGTCAGACGCAATCTGCTGCTAAGTTCGTATTTTACCACATTTCTGATATAAGAATCCAAACAATATAAAAGATGATAAGTTTCATTAAATTTAGAAAATAATATTTAATAATGCAATGTTTAAAGATGTTTTTGTATGAATTATGAATTGTTACTTAAACTTAGTAGTAACAACCATTCACAATATAGATAGATTTAGTTTTATGGACGGTTAAAAAAAACAATACATTTTCATCCAAAATTCTTTGTTATAGAAATTATGTCAATTTTCTCATCTTTGGCACGTCAACAATGTGTTCTTCAGAAAAATAAAAATAAAATCTGTAATTGATTAGTACAAATATGAAGAAATTTACAAGATAGTTTAGGTTCTGTACTGACTATTCTCAATAGAATTCAAAATATATAAACATATATAAACATACGGCCAATAGACCAAGTAGTGATCGTTCTCGTACATCTTATTGAACAACTTCATATATTTCAACAGCCGTGAAGAATTTCTGTAAATATACCAATAAATACGTGAAAATTATATTGAAAGGTATTCTAAGTAATTAAGTCAAATTATATTTCATAATAAATATGAAAGATTGTATAACAATAAAAACGTACTTTACCTTAATCGAAAACTTTCTCATTTTTATACTTATTTTATATGATGGTAGATAAATTTGACTCAACTTATGTTAAATATTTAAAGAAATAAAAAAAAAACAGTAGAAAATTTAGGAATCTGTAAGTCAAAATCCATAAAGTAATTTTAGCTTTCCATGATTCATATTAGTCTAATTTAATATAAAATGCTTTAATTTTGTCCGTACATTTATTTAGAAAACATGTAAATACATAGTAACTACTTTGAATAGAATTGAAATTAATGAAATAATTACTGAAATTAATTGTATGATTTATTTAATAAATATTTTATTGTTGTACCATTGTGACTGATTAAAATTCGGTTTAAGGACAAGCATCATGTGAATGCCTCATTAGAGTAGTGATAGGCTTTGCCTCATACTACATCGATCTAATGTAGTATTAGCATGCTGCAGGGTTCTAAAGTTCCTGAATCGTATTTAAATGGATTCCTTAATAGTTGCGGCGAAAGTTCGGCGCAGCTCAACATTTGTCTGCTTTAGAATTTCATTACTCAAACAAAAAATTACTTAAAATTATCTAATTCATGTTTTTGCAATAATTTCAAGACGATCAAATTGTTAGAATAAATATATTCAATGTTTTCTACATTTATTTTTTCTGTTTTCTAAAATAATATTTTGTAATGTAAGAATACTCATATTTATTAACCCAAGTGAATGGTTAAAGATTATAGTAATTGTTACCTATAAACAAATTATTATTTTTATATTTATCTCCTTTTATTCATATGTTTAAATAAAATTTCTTTTGATTTATTTATAAATATTTGAATTTATTGTGTGTTAAATTTATCCATACTACATCTAAAAGAAGAGTCATAAAAATAATGTTGATTATTAAAATAAAACATAAATGAGCAAAATATAGATATTTTTTTTTTCATTTGCTGTGACTGAACTTAGTTGGATTTTTTTTTGTAGCTTTATATTTTCTTATAAATAGAAACTCAAATAGACACACGATATGGTCATTAAAAAGTGTAATAACATTATAACCATTAGCCAAGAACACACCTTGTTATATGTCTCCTTTATAAATTAGAAGAAACATTCACGAATATTAATTTATTACATTGAATTATGAAAATCTACAAGACTGGAAACATTATGGATAATTAAATATATTATAATTTTATATATTTTAATTAAACAAAAATATGTTAGTGAATTTTATGAATAAAATAACTACTGATTTTTTGCCCCTATTTTTTGATATGTTTTGTATTATTTGACTACGATTATCATACGGAATCCTTTTTTCAAACGCAAATTGAAATGATCTCTAGTTCGAAAAACGATTTGCATTTAAAATTGAAGTAATAACTGCTTGATTTTATGATCGTTTATTGTAATGGTTATAACTTTTAATTAGTATTTAAGAGAATGGCAATAAAATAGAAATTGGATTATTTTTTATAGTGATTGAATCAGCAGGAAGTGAAACGGTAAAAAAATCACTAAATTATGTAAATTTAACCAAATCCCTCGAATAGGGTTTTACGATAATCCATTTTTGAATTAAGAATATAAAAATATAGTTTAATTAGCTGAAGTAACGAAAAGTGTTGTAGACATTTTCGAGGAATTAGTTATAAAGATTTCGATTCAATTAATATGATTGAGTGCTTTCCAACAAATACAAAACTGCATAATGAAACGATTATAAATGAAACAAATTATTTATTAGTTATGTATTAAAAGTAATATTGAATTCACATAATTCTACAAAACACATGAATAAAGCCACTGTTGAAACTAAGGAATAAAATATTTAAATACAATTGAAATAATTAGAAAAATAATAATCGTTGAGTTAATAAATCTGTTATTCACATTTTTTATTTCAAAAAATTATGATCAAAATATGAACAATCGAAAAAGAAAATTTCTAACAAACTATTTTCTTAATTCCTCGAAGAGTACGGTTCAGACGCACGACTTTAATGATCGAAGTTCTACAATCAAGATTTTTCAATTGTCAATTCAACTTGAATATTTTATTCTATGAATATTTTTAACCGCAATAATTGCGACCTAAATCTTTAAGCCACCTTTTTGTCTATTTATCTGATTATTATTATTTATTATTTTTTTATAAATATTAGGTTTAATTCAATAAATATATAAAATTGTGTCAACACTTTTTGTTCATGATTTTTTGTCCATTTAATTGAAATAAAATTTGGCAAATATTTCGGTGTGTTTATTATTATAATTATTTATAGTAAATATTTCATTTGTGAAATAATAAAATATAATTCGAAATATTTCAAATTAATTATTTCAAATATTATATTGTGCCCTCATTTAATTAATTAATAATTGGATTGTTAATTTTTCTTTTTTATAGTGTTAAATTTATTTTTTTTATAACACACATTTTGTTTGTATATGTAAATCTATAATTGTTTGTTCTTGCTATAAATATGTTTATTGTTCATTTTTATTGAAATATATAAATATATATATATATTATGCGAATTGTAATTTACAAAATGTATGGATCCTTTTGACAAAATAGCAAATTCTAATTTAATAATGTTTTGTAAATGTGAATTGTCTTTGTTGGATTATCTGCGAAATTGTAGAGCTCAATAGTGTGACAAATGACTTACCACAATTGTTGTGACAATGTAAGTCCTGTTCCTTTCAATGTGTGCAGTAGGCTTAAGGCGGACGTATTTAGCCGCAACTGGCGTGAATCCTGTCTCATCGCTCCATTCCGCAACTTTAACCATGGCACTGTTAACAGTCATTTCGACAACATGCAAAGTGTAGTTCTGCCTTCTGCCATCGTCACTAAATCGGATCTCGCCTGTAATCCCCTCAAGCTCGACCTGGATGAAAAAAAAATAAGAAGAAAAAGATGAAGCGGTTCATTTTTAGGACCTCGTAACAAGTAACGGGATATGATAACTTTTTTTTCAGTAGGGTAGTAATGCAGATTACGAATTCACGCAATAAAAAGGAGATCAAGGTTATCCATCATACTAAAAACGCGAGATTTTAGGGGGGAGGCAGAGAAATAAATGCGAGTACATTCGGTTTATACGTTTCTCCCATGCGCTTTTTATTTTCAGTTTTTTTTATTATCATTTTAATGGGACATGATAGTAATTCTCTTTCTCTGTGTGTGCTTTTGTTTTGTACCTTTCTCAAGAATCTGGAGATTTTATCGCCGTGTTCCCATGGAGACACCCAGCCGCCAGACGCGTTGCAATCCAATCCTTTACTGCCATTATTGAAGATCTGTCCTCGTCTCATGTTGTTCCTGAACACGTCTGGCTTCTTCCTCAGCAATTTATTAAAAGCCTCGACTAGTACAAAGACCGCATCGTACATTAGTGCCGCTTGGGCACTGACGCTCTCCTTGCCTGCTCCTTGAGACGTCAGCGGGTCAAGCCTTTTCCAGCCCTCCAAGAAGTCTTTGACGTGTTTCCTGCTCGAATCGACGATCCGAAAGCCGGTTATGTTGATTGCCCCATATTCAATTACTTCGCTCTCCCATCTATCATCCATTACCTACAAAGGAGAAAAACAGAAAAGAAAAACGTATATCCATAAAAGCTTTAATCCCCAGAAAGGCATATCGATTACCAGTAACTGCACTACTAGTTTATTGCTAAGTATGTTTACGATAAAACAAAAATATATATATAAATGAAAAAAAAATCTGCATAATATTTCTTTAATGATAATGCTTTCCGATTATATTTCTAGGTTGCGTGATTTTTACATATAAAGAACGGAGCCATTTTAATGACTATGCGGACATTATATCAACAGTAAAAAAAAAACAACGCAATTTTTATAATACGCTTGTGAATGCCGTCGGGGTTTTAGGGCGTAACAATTATTTATAAAGCTTGGGGACACTTTTTTTTCTAGTTTCTCCAGCCAAGAAACAACAACACCCAGGGTAAAAAAAACAACAAGTAATACAATTTTGATTAATTTTGTAAATATTTAAATGAGTTTTCAGACATAAAGCATTAGTACAAGCAGAAAGAAAGTAATAAAAGTATAAAAATTAAACGAAAGTAGTGCTTGTTAAACCGCTGCTATGATTACTATCTTAACATTATTCGTTTACTTGCTCACTTGCTTACTTTAAATTATCGGTATATCGTTAAGAATTCTCACTTCCTTTTGTTTTATATAAATTAGAATAATAAAAATATTTATTATATTAATTATATTTTTTCTTTTCATATAAATAGGAGAATTTAACCCGTACCTATCCGTAAGTGCACGTATGGGTCAAAATGACCTGTATGTAAAAATATTTAAAAAAAGAACAAATTATTAATTTTTACAACATACACAGATTTATACCTATTATTTTATGAATTTATCATGATTTTATTTCTCAAAAGATTCTGGGCATTTTTTGAGTAAGTAGAACAAAATGGTATTTTGCATATGTAACAAAATGTTGTTATTTTCTTGTCGCTCTAGTTTAGACCAAAAAAAACTCGTTCTTTTGGATATAGGAATACGTTCATTAAGTTGTGCCAAATGCACATTTTTTATCAAGTACTTCCACATCTGATTTTGTCTCATTATATAAATGAACGATACCAAGTTTTGTTGGTTTATATATTTAAAAAAAATGCAATATCATATCTAAAAACATAAAGTAGTCATCCAAAGCATGTAATAAATTTTATTCCGAGCTATAAGTCATTTGTAAACGTAAACGTAATAAAGTAGTATAATCAGTGAAAGCTCTGTGAATCGCTATTGTTATGAAGACTGTATCAGATATACACAACAATTTTGGATCATTGAATTGATATTCCTGAGCATCTAACGATGTATTCTATTTATCAATGTGCTAACCGTTATATGAATCACGCATCGTTAGATAACTAATAATAGTGGCATTGCAAATTATATAATTAGTATATTATTCCAAATATGTTAATAATAATTATGTAATTATTATAGTAACAATAATATATATTCTAAATTATTTCTAATATTACATATTATTGATTTTATAATATGTGAATGACATTTTATGATCGTTTGTCCAAAGTACCATTATGTACTAATTTTAATTCAATATAAATTTTATACAATTTCCTATCATTTTAATAATTATATTGATTACTTATTATTTTGATTTTCATATTTTCATTGATGATAATTATATAAATTGAAATTGAGACATTATTAACATAAGACTGTAAAAAAAATCTTTATTTATTAATACATTTCATTGCTAATAGAATCATATACTGCGGAACATTTGCATATTATATAAAAAAGTGTCGAGTGCTTGAGCTCACGGTTTGTTTTACTATTCTTTTGAAATATAATATCTGCTAGTGTTTATATGAGGGAGAGAACGTGCACTTGGGACTAATTAAATTAAATAAATTGCTTCTCCCTTTTGCATCTCCATAAGCGCTTTATAGAAAACAAAGAGATAAAACCAAATTAACTTAATTTTTATTTTGAAATATGAATAAACAAATTACAAATATTCATAAGACAATATTAAAGTGTTCGATCTTTTAAACAAGTGTTTCTATAATCCGACTTTATCAAAAACGAAGTTTTCGGTTCTCAAATTCTCTATAAAACTGGTATTCAAATTTTAATAAAAAGAAATTAAGATGAAGATTTTTTTTAGTTGAAAGTAGTTTTTAAATTAGATAGTTTTATTCAAAAAAATGACAAACCCTAAGAACTTAGAAATATTAATTTCAAGTAACTATTTAAAACAGTTCTCGCTAACATTTATGTTTTAAAAGTATGTTAAAAAGATATATATTAGTATGTTAAGAAAGAAACACACATTACTTTTAATATATTTTGTAGTTATATATAATAGTAGTTAGAATTAAACGAAATAATCTTAAAACTTGTGTAGACTTTACCCATCAATAATTATAAACATAATTAAAAAATTAAATTTGAATCTATAATTTATTTATTTCATTTGCAGTTTATTATTGTTTTGATTAAAAATGTAGTATATTTTTAGAAACCACAATGGTAATAATGCAGATACTATTATTATGATGGCAGAAAACTTAATTTCAAGAGACTATTCAAAATTCACATGAAATCAAAAGTATGATTGTCTTACCAATCCAGATAAAAGATAATGGTAAGTCCTCCTGCCCAAGGCGATGTCCCTCACGTGGCTTACAACGATTTCTTTGGCTGTGTCCGCGGAACAATCGAGAACGACGTATTTGTGTTCCCATCGCGATTGTTCCTCCAAACCCCTAAGGAACTGTAAAGCCTCGCTAACATTACTGATTCTCCTCACCGTCGAAACCGTGAAGCTCTCGTTCCCCGGTATCAAACCTTGATATATCTGCTGCAGCCTCAATAAACCTGCGAACAGAAAAAAAAGATCGGAGAGAGAAAATATTTAAAAACCCCGTCCACGTAATCCACGATCCAATCTTAAACTCGAACATTTTCGTATCCGCTTGCTTCAAAGATGGCATATCAAAAGGGTAACCGACATCGATATTACTTTACGATTCACGAACGTTATTGCATCGCAATGAATACTGTAAATCATTTAAAACTTTTTTTTTAAGTACAAACATTAATTTTAATAGCATTGATCGCCATTAAAACTTTCCACGGACAAATATTCCAACAATACTCTCGTCCAATAAAACCAACTTCCTTCCGTTTTGTATATATATACATTTTACGGCTTGCATCAAATAAATTCTAATTACTAATAAAAGTTTGCGACATAAAAAAGCATATTAAAAAAGTTTATTAAAGTTCATGTCGGTTCCAGTTAATTTCAAAGTTGTATGTACATGCATAATACGCAGAACTATTTAACGAATTTAATTTAGATTTGTTTGAATTTTATTATATTAAATAATTTACTTAAATTATTTTATTCATATTAATTTATATTAATATTAATAAAACTTTCAACCGTTCAAACAATGTGATAGATTGAATATTGATTTTCTGTAGTAATTACGTCAATAGATTAGATGGTAAATATTAATAAAGGAATGAGTAATTTAAATTAATGATTTATTAATTTTATTTATAGTTCTTTTGTGTAAAATCATGTACTATAGGTTTACCAACAAACAAAAGGTGTATTGTATTGTTGTTCATTGATTTAAAACGTACATTCTTTTTTATAAACATCAATATCAGTCACTTACTTACTCCTTGACCTATTCATGTAAGTTTGGGTTACTTCTTCGAACTATTGGCATCACGATTTATAACGTTAATTATCTATTATATATCAATGAAATTGAACTTCATCAATTCTTCTTTTTTTTTTGCTATAATAGAGTTTTAACGATAAAACCATCTGCATGAAATTATCAGTCTACAATGTATATTTCTTAAAGCTATGTACAGTAATTATAGGTAATAAAATTATTTATTTATTCCTAAATAAGATCTTTATGTAATTTGATGTATTTTGATTCCCAACAAATGTTTCAGTTAAACGATTTTATAAATAAAAACGTCGGCGTTAATCAGTTTTCATCTGCTTCAAGTTCATTTTCTAACAATTTACATGTTACCTAACTAAATTTCATGGTATAACTCAGAGCTTCTTCAAACTTTAAATTAAATTAAAATTTACATATTCTGACAATATGCTTACTTACTCCACATATTAAATTTACATATTATTTAAAATTTATGCAAGAAGTCTCACATCAACTAGCAGCTATAAATTATCAGCTCAATAAAATTAAATTAGAATATTTGATTTTTAGATATCGAACAGTCTAAACATAGTAAGTTTCATTGTATAACAGAAGATTTGTATAACATAATTTAAAAAAATAATAAGTATATAATCTATTGTTATAATTTAAGTACATAAATATTTTTATTATAAATAAATTATTATGATAAAATAATTTGATTTTACATCCGTCTTATTGGAAATTAAGTATAGAGAATATTTTTATTCGCTGAGGTTTTGTTGCCTGAATAAGTCAAGTGGAACATACGTAACACAAATAGCTACTACTACTACTTATGTAATTTCCTATGAAGGACGATTATCTATAAAATATACGTATATGTATTTTGCTTAGTCTATTTATGTTTACTTTTTGTGAAAATTAGAACAATATTATTTTATTTGTTTCTATAGCATTGTAATAAGATAAATCACTTATATTTATTTATTTATTTAAAAAAATATATTATTTATTTTATTTGTTTTTGAAACTATATTTCTTGAGAAACTTTTCTTCAACTATAACACTTTTCTTGAAACATTAATTTTTAGCGTTAATAAACTTTCAGAATTCAATTTTGTCCAAATCGGAACGATAAATTAACTGGAACATCGTATAAACTCGATCCGAACTTCGGACATGGGGTTTCTAACCGAACTTGTCGGGTCAAAACCGGACACCTGGCAAACCCTACTCATATACTGCATTTAGTTTATGTAGATCTGTGATTATTGCGGTTTCCAGTTTGTGGCGTATTGGAAACTGGATATACGTATTATCTGTGCACAAATTCATATATTCAAGGAAGTAAATCAAAACCCTATATTACTATTATTACTATATTTTATTAATTATAGTATTTTTAGTTTTACTATTTAAATAAAGGATGTAAGATTAGAACCGAAAATACCAAAAGTAAAATTAAAAAAAAAAAATAAAAGGAAAAATAAAAGGAAATGTATAATTTACAAACCAATAAATGAATCTGAAAGAAGTTTAAAAAATGCATTAAAATATTGAAATGAAGAAAATTGTTTTGCAAAATCTTAATTAGAAAAGCTTTCAAAAGTCCTATATTTGTAGAAAATGGTAAATCAATAATGAATCTAAAACAAGATTTGTGTACCCTATGTGTCTTGGATACTATTAAATAAAATTAAAAATACAATTGTATTGTTAGAAAAGATATTCCTATAGAAGTTATATAGGTTAACAATGACAATTGCAATATACATCATTTAAGTGTCAAGAAAGAAAATTAACTGAATTTGTATCTAACCCAAACCAAAGGTTATATGGGAGTTTATTTCGATACATGATTAATGTTGTAAGATAAACTCTAAATTTAAGTTAACCTTGAACTACTCGCGCCGGTTTAAAAATTACACCAATGTTCTAAGAAATGGTGCCACATCTCTATTCTCTTTCCCCATCATGCCCAAAGTGTGTATTAAAGGCTGGTGCAGTATAGTGTTGACTGCGGCACAAAAAAGTTGTTTTTGTGCACATTCGTTATTGCTCTGCATATGTCACAAACACAGAAATGCTAGCAGTTTTAGGCTTGTTATTGTTATCTGGGTATAAGAAACTATGGACAAACTATGGTACAGGCTCTGAAATATTTTGTGCTTACATGAGCTACAATAGATTATAAAAAAGGATTAGTTAACATGAAAACGTCTTTTCTTGTAATACAATCTTTTATGAACTGTCAGTAATACATGTGGTGTATAAAATACACCGTGTGAGTAGTACATATACATTTCAGCATTACATACATAGCATTTCTTTATTAATTAATTATCAACTTTTTATTGGCTTTTTAAAAGTCCTATATCTTAATCAGTTTTAATGTAGATTTTATATTTGATTACTTAGGGATAAATTGTATAATACTATTTCTTAGTATTAATAATAGTGAAATACTTAATTATTATAATACAGGAGATGAATTACTTTGCATTAATAAAAGTAGCCACTCTTGAAATTAATTCATATAATATCAAGATAAATGATGATTGATGGTCTCTGCAATGTTTGCTTTAATACGTATAGATCTTCCATATTTATAAAAGTACTTTATTGAGTGTACAACATTTAACTTCATTAAGGCCGATGCTTTTTTTTTAGAAAATAACTCGATTTATCAGATTAATAGAATGATTTAGATTCGTTCCACATATATATTTTTTTTTTGCAACAATACTACTGCGGAAATTCGATTTACAGCAATGATAAATAATGCCATTTGCCAGTGACGCGAAATGAAAATGCAATTTTTCCGGCGATAAATTGTCGTGATTAAAAAGGGCATGAAAAATCGAAAGCCATATGTCTTTCCCATGGAAAGCATTACCCATTTTTTTTATGTAAAATATAATATTCGCATACGATTCAGTGGGAATATTAAGTAACGTTTCTTTTATAAAAAAAAAATGCTTTACCATCATTCGAGTCGTAGAGGTAAACAATTTTATTCCATCCGTAATATCTGACTGTGTCAATGATGGCTTGATGGTATTCCGGTCTCATCGAAATGGCGTAATCCAGGAAACCCGAAGAGGGAGCCAGGACCTTTTCTGGGAACCACGGCGTCACGAATGGCATCTGGAATGTATTGCTGTAGGAATGAAGAGTGTCGAAGGAGTCCGGCGAGACTGCACCCAGCATCGAGAACACCCCTCTCGAAAACTGGTTGCATACTGTAAACATAAAGGAAGCACATTACAACATGATATTATATCATCATCGGATGTATAACATAATAGCTATGGGTTATCGGATTATTCTGGTAGGTATTTACGATCTAGTCTAGTTACATGAGAACGTTTAGCGTGCGTCGTTGAGATAAAAGTGGGGTTTCGATGGTATAAGCGATTCATGATTCATGCATGTGTGTTCGTTTTAGTTGGATATAAATCATGGATTATTTTTTTATTTAATAAAATGAGCGGGGAAATAAGGTCAGCGATGAGAAAAGCTTTCTACACGGTAAAAATATTTGTCGAAACTAGGTCAAAGTTTATTATTATCCTTATAATCACGGAAAGGAAAATGATTTCAGGAAGACGAAGCACAAAACCATTTAGAAGAATTACTTGAGGCCATTATAAAGTTTTTCTTCATTAAGAAAGTGTTGAATACTTTTAAATGTAATTATTACATATTTTAATAGAAGTTTTTATATATATATTATTCAATATTGACATATATAAATCACTAATTCTTAATAATAATTCATTCTATAATAAATATTTTTTGAATTTTTATTATTTAATAAACAAACATATAAAACAAAGTAAAAGTTTGAAAATTATTAAATCAATATAAGCAAGATTACATCAATCTTCGAATTATGTGATCGTTAAGATTTTTCCTGCAACAAAACACTTCAAACATAGTTTTCGAAACTCTGATTTAAGAACACTATTTTTTAAATTAGTTATGAAGAGTTGTACGTATTTAGTGATTATACTAAATTAGAATAATATTATAAAATAAAGTAGAATGACGAATGTAAAGTGTGTCCCAAAATGAACTGATATATATTTTTTTTAATAAAACACATTTATTATTTGATAACAGATTTTTTTTTGTTTTATTAGAAAGTAGAGACATGGTGGTTATTTGTGATACAAAACAACTGACAAATAACAGCCTATGTCTTGGGAGTACATGTTCACTTTTTTGATGAAATTTTCTATAACATGTTGATATAATTGCTGGGAAATTTCGTCAATGTTGTGTCGAATTTGAACTGTGAGGTCCTCAATGGTTTGTGATTTAATGATGTACATTCTATCCTTACGATAATCCCAAAAAAAGAAGTCTAACGGTGTCAAGCCAGTCACATGAAATTGGCGGCCAGTTCAAATCACCTCGCTTCGAGATAACACGATCATTATTTTTTTCTAGTAATAACCAACCACGTCTTCCATATGATTAATGTTAGGCCATAAAAAGTTCTAAATCATCACACAATATCAAATAACATTGACAGTAACGCACCAAGCCGTCAATGATGCATATGAAATTCATCAATCACTTTTGGATTTTTGCATCTTCAAATTTGACTGACCTACGGTTGACCACGATGAATTTTTACAATTTATACGCGTTGTTTGGTCGTGCTCTTTTCCATAGGTTATCCTTAATTGACTAACGACAGCATATACAAATGTCTACTCTGGTTTTATTGCGAAAAAATGGCAACAAATTTAAAATGTCAGTTCTTTTTGGGACACCCTTTATTTATGTTTTAAATTTTATATTTTGTGTAACGTTTGAAATCAATTATATTATTGTTAGGAAAAGTTGTTAATGCCTGATCAAAATGAATTGCATCAAAATTGTTGCACAAATAAAATTAATTTATTTAAAAAGTCTTAAATTTAAATAAAATTATCTTATTTGTGTAACAACTATGAAACTAATTTTCTAAATAATAACCAATATCATCATATTAGCATTACATAAAAAAACATACAAAAATAAATCGCACAGATAGAAAATGTGCATGTATAAAAAGAATATCCGTTACATAAATTATTAGTGTACTAATTTTTTAGCTCAATTAAAATGTGTTTTTTTTAATTGCAAATCGAACTGTAGTAAAACCGAAGAAATTTCTGTATATGGAGTTTTAAGTGTAAAAACTTTATTTATTAGTTTCAAGTTATTGTTAAATCCTCTTTTTACCTTCGCATTTCAATTTTTTAAATGGTAAAATTTGAAATGACAAAATGTGAACTAAAAAAAAAAACATTTATATTAATTTACACAGCAATGGAAATGCAAATAATTCTGTGCCTATTGTACGGAAAATATTTTCGCATAATTCAAATGGAACCATTGATTTTCCATGTTATTTATATAACGTCGAGCGGATATTAACAATAGAATGAAATGGACTCTCAAACATTCGTTTAATACACGCTCACTGGATTTATATATATGTAGATATATCAGGTACAAAAATATTTCATTTAAATATGTGCACTGATACCAAATATTGAAATATTATACCAGATAAACTAATGTTCGTTACAAATGATTGTTAATAAATATTCCATATTTACTTTTAAATAATGAATATTAATGAACGTGTTTTAATTAAATTGGTCTATGTCTATTATAAAATAGTAGTTAAGTAGAAGTATTTGTTTGCAAACTAGTCTTAAAATTAGATAATCACAAAATATTTACGATCAAAGCAATACATAACTTGCAACAACTATTATATAGTTTAACCAATTAGTTTTTAGTTTATTGGCATAATAAAAAAAATATTTAATAAAAATCTTTGTATTTGTATTTTATTGTAGAAATAAATAAATTATAATTATAACATTAATTACAACAATTTTATATTAAGAAATATTAAGAGTGAAATCCCCATATTCAGTGCCCGTTACCAAAACAGACCTGAAAACCACCCCCACAGACTAAAGAGACACAACACTCTCGACCTCTCCGTTAGAAAATAAAAATTAGTTTTATTGTTTAAATTTTCATAGTGCCGTCAAAATCAATTTTTATTTGGGTTGTTATTGTCGTCGAGTTATTTCTTTTTAGTTAAATTTATAATTGTTTATAGGAAGATTTCCGATGGGAAATCGTTCCGCTCCATGTTTTTATTTTGTTTTTCAGTTTTTATTTTTTCTGTCTGACAAAAACATTCAACTTATAGCCCGAAATGTTGGCAGGTTGTGAATGATCAATAAAAGTTAAAAAAAAAAGAAATATGCTATACGTATATTTTATTATATGAAAAATTATATATTTTATAGACGTATTAACGTATATGCGCGACATCGTCATAATGAAATGATTTGTGGCCTTATTGTGACCCTCGCCGTGTTACATTATTGATTATTAATGACTACATGACTACTGCATGACCTACATATACCAGATTTAATATGAAAATTACATCGAAATGGTCAGACTCTCCTTGAGGCTTCATCGCACAAATTGTTATTACGAATTCCCATTGAACATTGATTAAAATCTAATACACATAAGAAAACCCTTCCAGTCGAGCCACCGCCTTGTGCACTTAATGTACACACAAATTAATTATAGTAATTGAATACGAAAGCAATCATTATAAATGGAAAATATTTATCAAAGAGGAAAGCCAAAGTAATTTGCCCCAACCTCTCCAATTTTTCCTTTCTTCTCTTGGACAAAGCACACATTAAAACGAAAATTAATTATTACCAAATTATGTCAATCTAAAACAAACTGTTCAGAGTTTGCATCAAACAATAATTATCATGTAAAATATTTAATGTTTACATAGTAAGAATTAACTTGTTTAAATATTTTACATCAGAAAAAAAATCATTCACACTCTTTGTACTCGTTGAAAATATCATCTTAGACCTTTTGATAATATTATCCTCAATGGCATTTATGATACTCGAACTTTTACAACGTCAAGGATTATTGATCATCTCTTACCGAGCGACGAAGAGAGCTTAGCAAAACACTCCACTTTTTTTTCTTCTTCATTTCTTGTCATTTCCGTTGATCTTCAAACCGGATCAAAGCAGCATTGCTAATGAGTTTACATTATAAATAATAAGATATGAAAGCGAAACATCAAGACAGAAATAAATCGAAAAAATAATTTTCTGTTCACATTTTCTTGTATATAACTCAACTGGATAAATATATTGGAAAGACTTGTTTAATATTCAATAGGGTGTAAAATAGTTTCTCTATCAATGGTCCCTTTTATAAATGTAGAGGGTTGCTAATGGTTTCCTGTAAGGTTGGCCTCACATTTTAGGACGATTTTACTACACCATAAATGTAATGGGAGTACAAAAGGGATAAGCTTTTATCCAAGAAAGTGGTGTGTATGTGTGTAAGGTAGAGAGAAAGAGCAAGATAGATACAAAGCTGAGGGGCAGAAAAAAAGCACGAACGAAACTAACAGAGAAAAATGGGGGGAGGAAGGAAAACGTGCCACGATTTTCCATGCAATAGGGCCATTTATAAGAAAAATCGAATCTACTTCAGGATAATATTTCATTTTTCATTAAGCGGTCTACTAAATTATATATAATAGCTCGCATTATTCAATATTCCAGTTTATTTCTTATTTTAGTTACCTATTATTAAAATTACTATAGATTTGCGACTCACAAGAGTTTATCATGAATATTAAATACTTTTAATGCGTTTTTGCATTAATTCATTTAAAAATTTACATTTAGCGAAGAGAAAGTTAACTAGTTAATTATTGAAAAAATAAATTAAAAAAATATGTTTTTGATGAATATAATTTATACCTATTATACAGTAATATCCCGATTAACTTTTCCTATGATAACGAAAATTAGATATAAGGAAGTCCCTAGAAAATTTCTAGCAAATAAGAATAAGAAAAAATAAGAAGTTGTATTAGAAGAATAAAATAACATCCAAGAAGTTTGACGATAAAGGGTTTTTTCAAAACATTCAATCTTTACCAAATTTTCCCCATATTATGAAAACTTAATAATTCACCTGACAGACAACAAAGCCCTGATATATAATTTTTATTTTAAAAAAGGAAACGATCGAAAGGCACCAAATTTTTACAGAATAAAGAAAAATCTAAAAACCAAATCAAATCAAGAAGTTCGAAATGTAGTTATTTGTTGACTCTTGTTAAAAATTTAAGGAATGGAAAAAATATGTTTTTTCAGTAGAAGATTTAGTAAATCTTGTTAGCAATAAAATTTAAGAAAATAAAAAAAGTTCCTGTCAAAAAAATTATTAAATCCAATAATTTTGATAGGTACTTAAATGACATTGACATTATATAGTAAGAAGTGTTATTGCGAAGCGATGATTATACAATAACTCATTATAGTTAAATGTTAAATTAAAGAGAAATAAAAATAAAAATTCCTGACAGTATTTTTACCGCTAAACGTTTTTCTTAACACAGTATTTTTTTGGAACGCATCCTATTCGTTAATCGAGATACAACTGTATTACATTATTAGAATCTGCGAAGAATAGTTTCTATATAAAAATATTTAAATCATAATTTCATTGTTTGCTTTTCTGCTCAATACATTTTGTCCTAGCCTTTTCAAGATTTGTCGGTTGTTACATTTTTCCAGTTTTGTAAATAGGAAGAACTATTTTTAATGATAGTTTAGTTATTGCAAAGGACGACGCGGATGATGGAACGTCTTATTTCTTTCTGACAATTCGACGTATTATTTATAAAATGAGGATTTTTAAGATTGATTTAATCAAATGCATATTTTATTTTGTACTAGATTAATTGATTGATTATATATTGGTGTTATTTCAACAGTTTTCAGATAAAAAGTTTGCTTAGGAAATGAGTCAGTGAGAAAAGAAATTGCTTCTTAGACATTTACTAAAAACAAATATTGCTCGTATCTGGACGAATTAAAGACAGCAATTCAGAAAGTATTGTGCTCAATTAAGATAATTTCGGATCTCATGTCTATTTGATTCATTCAAGTCTTCAAATTTTCCTTAAATACCAGAGCATTAACTCTTCCGTTGATATAAAAAAACGCCTCGAAAAGGTATTCGCCGAAAAAAATCTAAAAACATGGAATCTTTAAATCGTGTGAAATATAATATAATATATATATATATATATCAATATAAAAAAGTTTGAATTTTGGTAAAATATCACGGATAACTGAATACAATTCACTTGAAATATGAAATTTCATTTCAAAATTGATATAATAACTTTTGTGGTGACCTTTGAGATTAAATTCAGCCATCATCGATCGAGACAAAACAATTTTACTTTATTTATTGTATGCGGCAACGAAGGTTCCCATCTTCAATTTACTACACAATAAATTACATTACCATGGAATTATTTTATGCACCGCAAACATGAAACATTTCAGCGGTGGCGCATGTAAACACGAATTTAGTTAATTGCGGTTTCACATAATCAATGCTAATTAATTATATTCGGCAATTATGTAATATTTACTATTGATATACGCAAATAACGGAAATGCACTACAAATCCAGTTTCAATTAATATCTCCCGAATATTCTCCTAAACATATTCAATAATATTGTATATAGTTGAAATTAAAATAAAATATGGTAATTACTGATGTAAGCAAATATTATAAATCTAGTATCTATTTAATGATTTTAAAGAATCCACTGAATATATTTATTTACTTTGTAATGTTATAAATGATGGGATACATTTGTAATTAACATTAGAGTACACACGTGGGATACAAGTGTAAAAATTCAAGCGCGAGTACTGGAGAGTTAATATAAAAATATATACAGTATAGTGCGGCTTCTATTAGAACGGATTTTCCGGTTTGAAATTTTCATAACAAACTGAATTTCATTTAAACAATAAATAAATACATTCTAAAATAATCAAGTCTGTTTTTGTGTAGTCCTCGATTAGTCCGGTTTTAAACAGTCTGATAAATTGGCTGAACAGATTATCCGAACTATCAAATTTATTATTCTAAAAAATCTCTTGAATATATTTAATAATTGTGAAACATTATAAATCTCCATGTGTTGTTGAAATGAATAATAAAAATGGGAAATTCTTCATTCGCATGCGGAAAACACTTATAGCAAAAGTTGTTTAAAAAGTTTTTATTATTTTGTGTGTTTGTAAATAATGGATATTATTATTATTATTGATATTAGTTGCATGGCGAAAATTAGGTCTACCTGGAGAGGCTCAAACAACCGAACTAACAACAGATTAAAAGTTTTCGCGTGGTTGCGCGTTGCTTGTGTTGTGTCTGAACCTAGTGAACGTATCGGGAATGGTAGGTGTGTTACATAAGTTCAACTACTTACTAAGTCTAGACAACTTGAAAGCATCTGCGGTGTTGATAACATCAACATAAGCCTGTAGTTCGAAACGGCGTGCAGTCACGTTCTGGTTGTGATTGAGCATGGCAAATTTGAACGCAGTTTGGACTTCATCCGTGCCCTGCTCGAATATTGCACCTATAAATAAAAAATAGAGAACAAGAAATAATCGGAAAATTCATCAAATATTTATGGATGGAATATAAACAAGAAAATGTAATCGGGGAATATGGAAGAGGAATATAAATCAGGGTTAACTTCACCTGACATTTATTACATTTACATACGGTAAATTTACAAAACAGATAAACAAAATTGTATTATTCCTATATTTTTATCTAACATAGCACTTTTTTTAAATTAAAAAAATCGGCGTACTCAAATGGGTACTTCAAGCAATTTTTTTCTACACACAATGTATGTTTGCATTTTTTTTACAAATCCACCTAGAGTGACAACATAACGGGTTATCAATTTGTTGTGGAAAATGTCCAGTATTATCAAATTGAATACTTTATTGCGAAAACATAGAGTGCCGAGTTAGATGCATACAACGCAAAAAAAAAATAATTAGTTTTGAAATCATCAACATTATTTCAGTTCTTTTTTTATAATTGTGTATATATTATAGTTGTTATTTTATAATTATCATTAATTAAATTCATAATTATTTCAAGTATTATTTATTTATACTACTGATTAGTATATATAATAAATAAGTTACAGGCAAAAACTAATCGGCCTCGAGAAGCAAGTTCAATAGACACTGACTAACAATAAATATAATATATGCAAATACAATCACAAAAACCAACAACACAAATATACTGAAAATACCTCCTCTTATAGCCAATTAAGATTGTTTAATAATCCATACTCAGTACTGGCCAGCACAACTGATTATGACAATTAAGAGGATGTAACCACAGAACATGGGAACACGCTGATAAAGGATTTCAACAGTGTTGGTAAAAACGAGTTAAAGTGCAGCCAACGACAGTTGATAATTATAAAAAAAAATCAATGAAAAAAGAAGATGTTAGATTTTAATCGATCAACTAAATTCTAACAGATCATTGTGTAACGAACATAACAAGCATACGCACAAACACGGACAAAACAAAACATTTGTCCATGTTCTTCGTAGTTTTAAAACAATAAGATAATAATATAGAAATACAACATAAAACATCTTCTGCCTGAAAACCAAATGCCAGCAGTTCCAGTAGCTTCGTCTGAAGAGGCAACATCTGTAACTCCAAGTAGGACTCATGCACAGGCATCTAAGCATCAGCAAGATAACATCCCAGTATCTGATGTGCAACAGTCTACACTTTCGTCCAGTTTTATCAATTATTTAGTATAATGAGGCAGCTGATGGGCCGAATGGACATAATGTTTGCGCTGATAACTGAACTCGTCATAAAGTTAAAATTATTTTTATATTTAAATATTAGTTGAGTCGCACACGCGAACGAGAGCGGACGTATTTTTAGTGAGCTCCAAGTTTATAGTGTGTTTAGTCTATTGTCATATTTATTAAAAAAAAGAGGAAGTGAGGTGAGAAGACTTCGACGTCTTTAGGTCGTAATAGGGGAGTTTCCCTATTATGGACAGCGAGGACA